AAACACTTACCTCATTGGCTTCGCCATTACTCTCTATGCTGGAGAAGAAAACAAAGCCCACAATCAGCATGAGACGACATTTTCTGAACCATGGGGGGTGAGGCATACACACTGTGCTCCTTGACCTCCCCAGTTTTTCCTAAGAACAGAGATATTCCCACAATGCAGTTATCCGTGTTGTAAATTTCTTTCACAATACTTTAATTTTTTAAAGATTTTATTTATTTATCTTTAGAGGGGAAGGGAAGGAGAGAGGGAGAGAAACATCAATGTGTGGTTGCCTCTCGTGCATCCTCTGCTGGGAACTGGTCTGCAACCCAGGCACGTGCCCTGACTGGGAATTGAACTGGTGACCTGACCCTTTGGTTTGCAGGCCCGCACTCAATCCACTGAGCTACACCAGCCAGGGTCACAATGCTTTAAAATAACCTACTATCCTTATTTCAGTTTTACCACTTAATCTAATAATGCCTTTTTTAACATTCCCCCTTGCACTACGAGATCCATCCTTGGGTCAGGTACGATATGTTATATTCTTTAGCATCTTTTAATCTGAAACATTTCCATAGCATTTATCCTTTAGAACATTGACTGTTCAAAGCTTATAGTGTTCTCCCCATTTCCACACATTTCTTATCTGGTTCAATTCCGGTTATGCGTTCTCAGCCACGGATCGGTCCTGTTCAGGGTATGCACCCAAGGCCGGTCTGTCTGTCATAGGTCGATGCTGAATTCTTGTTTTTCTTTCTTCCCCTACATAAGTAGGTTTCCTCCGCCCTTTCTGCTATTAAGCACGTAAACATCCTGTCCCTGCCTTCGGCCGTCTTCCCATTTATATCCGTTGATTGTCCCCCTACGTGGTCTCTACCATGATGGATGCAGGAATGACGGTCAGGTGGTCTTTTGAATCTGTGAGCGGGCGGGTAGGATATATGTCTTGTCTTCCTTTCCTGTTTTCTTTCCCTCTTTCCTCTTTAAAAGCACGACTACAACCATGAAAAAAAACACCCCAGCGTTTTATACTGAAGTGGAATTGAAGTTGCTGTCACATTGGACAGTTTTCCCATTGAGGTGTGGGAGTTGACATGTCCAAATAGTTTTTCTTGTCTTAAGTGGCACTTATAAACTATAAGAAGTTATAATGATTTACGGAAAATTAGAATTTTAACACTTTGAAAAATAGGGGATTAATTTTTATTTTAGTTCACAGGCCTGTGCTCAATCCACTGAGCTACACCAGCCAGGGCTAATTTTTATTTTAAATGATAAGCTTTGTATTTTGCTCTTCTGTCAGTCTTTGGCTCTCTGGAGATGTCACACACCGACTGTATGACACTGTCATACACTATGACAATGTCATATGGCCATTAAAAAAAAACCAGACTTTATTTTTTAACTAGTTGTAGGTTCACAGCAAGAACGAGCAGAGATTACAGACAGTTCCTCTGTGTCCCTGCCTCTCCCACTACTGCGCCCCCACCAGAGTGGTACAGTGATTACCGTGGATGAGCCCACACTGGCAGGTCAGCATCACCCACAGTCCACAGCTTACCCCAGAGATCACTGTTGGCGCCGCACGTTCTGTGGGTTTCACAGTAGCACACAGTGGTTTTGCTTCCCTGAATGATCCTCTGTGCTCTGCCTGTTCACCTTTCCTCCTTCCTTCCTCCCCACTGATCTTTTTTGCTGTCTCCATCATTTTTCCCTTTTTCCAGAATGTCGTGTACTTGGAATCACATAGCATGTAACCTTTTCAGATGGGCTCTTATATAATATACATCTTAAGGTTTCTTCATATCTTTACATGGCTCGATAGCTCTTTTTTCATAATTTAGTAATATACCATTATCTGGATATACCACAATTTATCCACCTAATGAAGGGCTTCTTGGTTGCTTCCAAGTTTTTGCAGTTACAAATAAAGCTGCTATAATCATCTGTGTGCATTTTTGTGTAGGCATAAGTTTTCAACTAATTTAGGTAAATACCAAGAAGTATCATGGCTGAATCTAGTGAGAAGAGTGTGTTTGGTTTTATAAAAAACTGCCAAACTGTCTTCTAAAATGGCTGTACCATTCCGCACTCCTCACAGATAACAATTTTTGAGTCAGTTTAGCCCCCCCTAAACCAATTGGAGAGACCATTATAGCTCAACCTTCAAACTCTAAAGCTGCACAGCTACACATGGTGACTTTGTAACGGGAACGTGAGCAAGGTCCCGGTTTTGTGCTAATACTCAAGAAATTAAAGCTCTTGCAACCTAGCAAAAGCACGCGCAGGTTCCTGCTGTGAATTGCGGGTTCGGGTGACTATTACTGAAGGTGAACTTACAGCTCTGAGAGGAGAGGGTTTGGGCACGTGCTCCATCAATGCTCCGATTAACACGGTGCAGCTGAGAGAGGGCGGCAGTTCCGGAGCCCAGTGGCAGTGAGGTTTAGTGGCAATGTGGCGGCCCTTTAGGCGGGTCTGGCTGCCAGCCTCCAGCATGCTTGGGTTTGAAAAGGGACCCCACTTGGGGGGATGCACAGGGCCACCTGGAGGCTTCACCTTGTAAGCTTGCTTGGGGTTGCGCCCTCTGTGACGTACCTTTGGTGACCCCTAGGGGGCGTTCCCATCAGCAGCGCAGCCCACCGGCCAGGGCCGCCAGTCTCCACCCAGCGATGGGGCCGCAGTGGGGAGAAGGTTGGGCCTCTGAGGCCTCTGTAGGGCGCCCCCTGCCCGGCAGCACACACCATGCCCTGGTGGAGTAACCTCTGCTGTGAGTAGTGTCCCCGCCCCGCTATCAGCAGTTCACCTTGGGGACCTCGCGAGCCGGGCAGCTTTGAGGGCCACTGACTGACTGTTGGTTGGTTAGTGGTGGAAGCAGGGGTAGAACAGGCCACAAGTCTCAAAAAATTGCTAGGCTTTAGCAAGGGCCATAAAGATGCTTTCACTAGAGAGCCTGGAGGTGAGCAAAATGGGTGCTGCAGGACAAGATGGAGGCAGCATTGTTATTCTGGATGCAGCGTAGGGGAAGAGCAGCCAAATAACGAGTAGAAACTAGGTTTCGGTTTCAGTGCGGCTTCCAAAATGAGTGGGTAGCCTCGTGATCACACGTGGTTTGCGGCAGGATACCTGCCTGTAATGTGCATGTGTGTGCTCATAGCTGGCTTTTATGTCACAACCTAATTTAAGCCTTGGCTTCCAGTCTAGGTAGTTTAGAAGGCTACCCTCTATCCTCTGCAAGCATTAAACATGTGTGACAGCTTCCTAGTGTGATCAAAGTGGCATTTTAGGAAGCACGGCGTCTCTGTAAGGTCCGCACAGGTCCCGCGGGTGCAGAAGGCAAGTGGAGCTGAAATCAGGGCTGAGTTCGTTTTGTCCAGTTTTTGCGCAAAGCACGACGGCGCCGTCTGGGTCCGCGGGGGCCCGTCTGGAAGAGCGTTCTGCCAAGAGCAGCTCCTGTGATTACTTAAGTCAAGGGAGGCCACAGACCAGTTGACAGGATTTAAAAATTTTCTGTGATCCTATATACCATTAAAAAAAAACAAAACCCATGTATTCAGCCCATATATCACTATATAAAGAGAATAGCTGAATCTTGCTAAGCGATAACGCACTCTCAGTGGCTGTTCTGTTCTGCCAGTTGGCAGTTGTTCAGCTTTGTGTCCCTAGTTCTGACTGTAAACGTCGCAGTCATCCCAGAATGTAAGAAAAAGTGTGCGAATTGAAACACAGACTCAGGTACCGGGGAAGGAAGAAGGAGGGGCTGGCGGTGCGGGGGAGGGGGATGGTGTGATTCTGTCCCTACATCTTCCAATGAATTCTAGAAAGGTTAGTTAATGACTGTTTTCACCTCAGCTTGCTGGCAGGAAATTTATGTTTGTGTTCATGACTAGTGAAATTGTAATAGAATAGGGCTTGTTTGGGGCTTCCACTTCTCTCTCTAGTGTACTTCCAATATCATCCACCTTTTTAAAAAAAAGCCATACCTCCTGCGTTGCCTGAGAAGTGTTTGTGGTCATTCTCGCATGAGTATTTTTATGATCTGGTGAAATTTGTGAGCGTGCTGCAGGCCATGGAAATGTATTTAAAGTAATCTGTAATTCCTGATGCAGTAGAATGACTATAAAGATCAAAATGGAAATTATATCTAAAAGTATGAATTGGCATTTCTTCATAAGGACATATTTCCTGCTCCTGTTTACTTTTTTTAGTATCAGTCTTGATGCGTGGATTTATTTATTTTTAATTTAGTGCATTATAACCCATCACTGTCACTATTCTTTTTTGCACGTCAAAGTTTGGCCAGATGGAGCCCCTTCAAGCTGGCGCCTGTGTCCTTTTGATAAGCCCCCTCAGCTTCTGAGCATCTCTTTCCTGTTATGCTAAAGTGTTCTCTGTACTTCTCTTGACGCATCCCTCACTGTCCAGTGTCTTTTGGGGACATGTTAGAGACCAGACTAGTGATTACACCAAATGCCCTTCCTTTACATTTGTCTAGATATACTTATTTGTGTCATTATTCGCTTATTTCTCCAACCCTGTATTTTCTATAAAGTGGAAGCTGTGTCTACACTTGATCTTAGCCAAAAGGCCAAGAAGCGATGGAAGCTGTATCTAAAACTGGATGGAGTCTAGATTACAGATGTGATATGTGATGATTCCACTTTGCATTGCAACGTGCTTCACTATCTGGTGGACCTGCCCCTTGTGATGCTGTGGCTACTTATTTGTTATATATAACCAATTTTTTAATAGTTGATATTGTTAACTTTACTGGGAACAGAAAGAGCACAGTAGTACCTTGGAACCTGGGTTTTTTTTAAGGTCATTTGAAAGGGGTAGACATTGCCTGATCTATTGACAGTCACAAATACTGGTGAGACCCTTACCTGACCTGGAATTGCCTGACATTAAAGAAAGTAGTAATCGGTTGTGTTTTTAAAATATTTGGTTTTCTTGAATCATAATAATTTTATCCTCTCTTCTCCCCCACCCTTCTCTTTTTCTGTTAATAGTTGGACAGAGAGACTCTGAAGATGTGAACGAAAGAGACTCAGATAAAGAGATGGCTGCCAACTCAGCAGTTGTTCAGGACATCACGAAGGAAGGGCAGGAGGAAATGCCCGAAATCATCGAGCAGATTCCTTCTTCAGAAAGCAATTTGGAAGAGCTAGCACAGCCTGCTGAGTCCCAGACTAATGATGTTGGGTTTAAGAAGGTGTTTAAGTTCGTTGGCTTTAAATTCACTGTGAAAAAGGATAAGAGCGAGAAGTCTGATACTGTCCAACTGCTCACTGTCAGAAAAGAGGAAGGGGAAGGAGCAGAAGGATCAGATGGGGCCGGCGACCACCAGGAGCCCAAGCCCGAGACTGGAGAAGCAACACCCAAGGAAAGTGAACTGAAACAATCGACGGAGAAGCCGGGCGAGACCATGAAGCACGAGCTGAGCCACACAGAAATTTCCCTTCAGGCCGAGCCTGATCAAGCAGCAGAGGAAGGCAGAGATGGAGAAGAAAAGCAAGAAAAAGAACCAGCCAAATCTCCAGACTCTCCAACTAGTCCAGTGGCCAGCGAAACAGCATCGCCCTTTAAAAAATTCTTCACTCAAGGTTGGGCTGGCTGGCGCAAAAAGACCAGCTTCCGGAAGCCAAAGGAGGACGAGCTGGAAGCTTCAGAGAAGAAGAAGGAACAAGAGCCAGAAAGAGTAGACACAGAAGAAAATGAAAAGATGGAAGATACTTCCGAGAAACTGGCTGCTTCTGAACAACCACACCCACAGGGGACCACAGAGAGTGCCAGCGATGCCAGATTATCAGCTGAGTATGAAAAAGTGGAGCTACCCTCTGAAGGTCAAGTGCAGGGATCTCCTGACGAGAAACCTGCCCCGTTAGCAACAGAAATATTTGATGAAAAAGTGGAGATTGTTGCAGAAGTCCACGTCAGCACTACAGAGAAGAAAACGGAGGAGCAGAAAGCCGAGGCAGGAGGAACAGAAGAGTCCTTGCCATCTGAAAAACTGCTTGAAATGAATGCTGAGCCTCAGGCAGCTGAGCCTCAGGCAGCTGAACCTCCGGAAGAGCCAGCGAAGACCGAAGGAGCGTGTGCCCCCGGAGGGGACCACACCCAGCCACCGGACGCAAGTCCTGGTGAGAAACCGTCTGCACACCCTGAAGGCATCGTGGGTGAGGCGGAAATGCTGGCATCGCAGGAGAGAGTTAAGGTGCAAGGAAGCCCTTTAAAGAAGCTTTTCACGAGCACTGGCTTAAAAAAGCTTTCTGGAAAGAAACAGAAAGTGAAGAGAGGAGGAGGAGGAGATGAAGAGTCCGGGGAGCACCATCCAGTCGTAGCAGATTCTCCAGACAGTACAGATGAACAAAAGGGCGAGAGCTCTGCCTCGTCCCCTGAAGAACCTGAGGAGATCACGTGTCTGGAGAAGGGGGTAGCGGATGCACATCAGGACGGGGAAGTCGAGGAAGGAACTGCTTCCGACGGAGAGAAGAAGAGAGAAGGTGTGACTCCCTGGGCGTCTTTCAAAAAGATGGTGACACCCAAGAAACGTGTTAGGAGGCTTTCGGAAAGCGATAAGGAAGATGAATTGGATAAGGTGAAGAGTGCCACCCTGTCTTCCACGGAGAGCGCGGCGTCCGAGGTGCACGAGGAGGCGAAAGGCCACGGAGAAGAGCCCAGGCCGGAGGAACCAAAGCGCAGGGTCGACACTTCAGTGTCTTGGGAAGCTTTGATTTGTGTGGGGTCATCCAAGAAAAGAGCAAGAAAAGCGTCATCTTCTGATGAGGAAGGGGGGCCAAAAGCAATGGCAGGAGAAAGCCAAAAACCAGATGACACGGGAAAAGACAAAGAAGCGGGACCAGACACTGTCCCTGCTGGTTCCCATGAGCATGACCAAGGGCAGGGAAGCTCCTCACCTGAGCAGGTGGGAAGCCCCTCCGAAGGGGAGGGGGTTTCCACCTGGGAGTCATTTAAAAGATTAGTCACCTCAAGAAAAAAATCGAAGTCAAAACTGGAAGAGAAAGCTGAAGACTCGGTAACTGGGGCTGGTCTGGAGCATTCAGCTGCAGATGTTGAAACTGGGAAAGAGGAGTCTTGGGTTTCAATTAAGAAATTTATTCCTGGGCGAAGGAAGAAAAGGTCAGATGGGAAACAAGACCAAACTGCTACTGAAGACACAGGGCCGGCAGAAGCCCACGAAGATGATGCTGACGTCCCAGCTGTGGTCCCTCTGTCTGAGTACGATGCCGTGGAGAGGGAGAAGATGGAAGCACAGGAGGCCCTGAAGAGCGAGGAGAAGCCGGAGGCAAAGGGAGAGGTGTATGTGTCGGAGGAGCTCAGCAAGAGTCTGGTGCACACAGTAACCGTGGCTGTGGTGGATGGGGCCAGGGCCGTCACCAGCATCGAAGAAAGGTCACCTTCCTGGATCTCCGCCTCAGTGACTGAGCCTCTCGAACGATCAGAAGATGGAAACAAGTCACCAAGTGGAGAGGCATTTGAAAGAGAGGCCATGGCAGAGGAAAGCCCCCTTGTTACCAAGGCTCTGCCCGAGAGCCAAGATGCCACCGATGACACAATCATCAGTGAGATGGAATTGACTTCTGAAGCGGTGACAGCTGCTGAAACCACGGGGGCATTTTGTGCTGAAGAAGCAACGGAAGCCTCTGCTGCTGAAGAGACCACCGACATGGTTTCGGCCGTTTCCCAGTTAACCGAGTCTCCGGACACCACAGAGGAAGCCACGCCCGTTCAGGAGGTGGAAGGCGGTGTGCCAGACACAGAAGACCAGGACAGGCGAACCCAGGAGGTCCTGCAGGCAGTTGCCGAAAAAGTCAGAGCAGAGTCGCAGCTGCCTGGTACCGCGGGACTGGAAGACGCCGTTCAGACAACGCGGAGAGTGGAATCAGAAATACCAGAGGAGGTGGAGGAAGGAGAAGGGGGTTCTCAAGTGCCAGATCTGAAGAACGAGATGGATGTAGTGTTGAAAGGACAGGTCGAAGAAACAGAAACTGAGAATTTGACACAAGGGAAGGGAGATGCACAGGCCACTCCAGAACACTTCACAGAGAGTGTCGAGCCCAGTGAGCTTATAACAACCACCTGTCAAGCTGAAACCTTGGTTGGGGTAAAATCAGAGATTACACTGGAACAGGCTGCTGCCCCTGACTCAGCTGAAACTCTTACAGACAGTGAGACCAATGGAAGCACCCCAGTAGCAGATTGTGAAGCTCCCCATATCACACAGCAAGACAAAGTCATGGACATCCACGCAAATAATGAGGTTGCATCTGGCACAGGATCCCAGGTCACAGAAGCAGAGGCAGTTCCTGCACTGAAAGAGGTGCCTCCAGCACCCTCTGATTTTCAATCACAGGAGGAACGTAAAGAACATTCAGAAATGGAAGAGGTTCTAGAACACACAGATAAAGAGGTATCCATGGAAACTGTACCCATTCCTTCAAAGATGGAGGTGATTCAAGAGGCCGGCCAGTTTGCTCATGATGAAATCAAAGACATACCATTTGTTGAAGGACTTGGAGTGTCTGCAGACCCAGAAATAACAGTCAGTCCGAAAAAGGTCAGTGAAGTTGTCCTTCAAGGTGAAATTACTAAAGAAGCTGAATTTCAAAAGAATGATAATATTGAACTCCAGAGTCACACTCAGCTTCTTCCAACCCCAGTGAGAGACGAGATGGTAGTTCAAGTAGAAAGGGAGGAAACGGAAGCAAAGCCAGCTCCAGTGAGTGAAGAGAAACTTGCGCCCAAACCAGCTGAAGTGCTCAGTGAACAGCTGGTCCAGACAGTGCAGGTGACTGTCGTAGATGGGGAAAAGGAAGTTATCAGTTGTGAAGAAAGTTCTGCTTCTTGGCTAGTTCAGGGGGAAGCAGTCTGCACAGAAATTCAAGTTCAAAGCTCTGAGACAGCATTACCTCTAACAGTTGCAACAGCGGAGGAAAAGGTCTTAGGAGAAACTGTCAAGATTTTAAAAACACCTGGATCTCTGGAGTCTGCAGAAGCACATTTGGAGCAGGAAACAGAGTCCTCTGAAAAAGAAGACTTCATTGTTCAGCCAGGGGAAGATGCAGTGCCCACAGGGAATGAGTCTCAGGCAGAATCAGTACCAGTGGTAGTACCTGCTACCCCTGAAAAAGGCATCAATGCTGACCTGGAAGCAGATAAAACCACATCACAGAAAGGGAGGTCAGATGAAGACTACGAGCAGGTTAGCTGTCAGGAAGCCAGAGTGAGCGAAACAAGAGAGGAAGGTTCAAAGGCTGAAAAGGAGATTTTGCAACTTAAGACCGAGAGCCGTAAACTTGTACAAAACGTAATTCAGACAGCCGTTGACCGGTTAGTAAGTACGGAAGACACAGCCGTCGATTGCCAGACACTGGCTTGGCTGATGCAAGCTGACAACCTGGAAGCTGAACAGAAAGTTGAAAAAGAAGAAAGGGAGCTTCAGATCTCCGTAGAGGGTGAGACACAAACTACCACAGCCAAAGAGGAGTCCACACTGCCCACTGTGGAACAGACATGCTCTGATGTTTCCAAAGATGTGAATGCAGCTTCCCAAGAGGTCATGACTTTTGAGGTTGAACGTTCCAGTGTTAATGATCAGCAGCTTGAAGAGGTAATTCTCTTAACCCAGGAAAAGAGAGAAGCAACTGGAACCCAGTCTTTGCAGGAAGACGGCGATCGAGTCGGGTTAGGAGAAAGAATAGAGAAGCCTCTGTCCGAGTCCCAAGAAGATCAGAAAGATGATGCTGTCGATTACCCTGAGAACCACACCTCAGCCCTGGAAGACACTGAAGCCTCGGGAGGCTTAACCAAAGAATCCGCGGATGCAAATGGGCCAAAACTAAAAGAGAAGGAAGTGGAATTTCAGGATGAAAACGGGCAGAGCAAGTCAGAAAAAGAGATTGAAACACAAACCCAGGAGGAGACACACCAACAAGAGAGGCAGCCAGCAGCCCCAGAGCTTACAGAATCCTAAAACGTCATGTGAGTAAGCTTCCTTTTCTTCTAAAATAATTTTTTCCTCATTAAGGCCATTTGATGGCAGATTTGTTGTAAATGAAGCAAGAGTTCAAATAATTATGATTTTATGCAGAACTATCAACCAGAATAGATTTGGGTTAGTTTCTTTTTTCCCCTCTCATTGAAATGCCATTCAGTTATATTGACGTTGTGAAAATGTTGATTTCATTTTACCCCCAATGTGACTGCTTTTGAAGAAAAGAAAAGCCCGCCTTGTGCACAAGTGTGCATTTGTGTGCGTGTTTGGCTAAAGATCCAAGAAATATGCTGTGCTCAGCCCCATACCGACTAGTCAGCTGAATTTTTTAGTAAGAAAAGTGAATTTTGTTTTCAGCAGTAGTAACAAACCATAAAAAATAAATCCCAGTGCACGTGATGAGCCTGACCCTGTGAACCACAGGCACAGGTGGTGAGGTCGCAGAGCATGTGCCTCGGACCCTTACCCTCCTGCTTTCCTGCAGAACAAAAGGGCAGTGTCGGGGGCCTCCAGTGACTGCAGCTCCCGGCACAGCCGTTCTGCGGTGAAGTGGAGGAGGAGGGAGGAAAAGGGCACTTTACTCACTTTTGAACCGTTCTTTCCCCTCTAGATACCCTCGTGTATTTGCAAGACCACAACGTGAAGAACAAGCGGTAGAAGAAAGTGAATGCTGCTGATAAGACTGCAGACCAATATTTCAGATCTTTGACAACTGAAGAACAGGCCCATCGACCGATCTCATTCCTAGGGAACCCCGACAATCCTGAGGTCTCATCGGGAGCTACAGCCGGTTCACAGTTCCTCTTTTCAAGACCATCCTATCGGTTTTCCCTTGATTCCATGTAGTGTCTCTCATTTAATGTCCTGCGTCCTAAACCTGGAACTGGAGTTGGAAATACCTAGTTCCACTTCTCAAACTGGAGTATCATTCTCTATGTATTTATATGTATGTTTTAAGTAATCCTCCTCCTGTATCTATTGTATATTTTTTCTTAATGTTTGAGGAAATGTGCCAGTATAGTACATTTCTTTTGTATCACACAGTCCATGACGGGGCATGTGGCCATAGTGGAGCTTTGGGAAGCTTCTTTATGACCTGTGAAAACAGCTTCCTAGAAATAACATTCCTGATCAGATGCTACAACAGTTCTTACTATAAAATTCACTAAGGATTAGGTCCATGATTAGTATTACTCTGAGACTGGTCACTTCCCTACTATGCACAAAGCTTTTTTTTTTTTAAACTTACAGAATGTTCCATTGTTACTGTGAAATTTTTCTTTCTGACCCAGTGGAAGTTGCAAGTTTTTTTTTTTTTTTCCCAGTTGCACATTAAGTCTTTTCTCCTAATTGTTATGGTTGTTTGGACAGATGAGTGTGCTTAATCCTGACGCAAAGTAGTGATCTGTTTTTCATACTGTTCAGAATGGACTTGTTTAAGTTTTTGATTCTATACTCGTAGATGCTGGAACCCATTTACACACAGCATGAAGCAACTCTGGTTCTTTACAACTGGTATTTTGATTGACGCTGGGTGGTGTCTGTGCCATATCTGTGCCCGCTCTTTTAAGACAATGTTGCATTATGTTCATTTCCAGAAATTGTGATTTGACAGCTGATTTAAATAAAATATGTGCTTCACCTAGATTTGCTAGTTTTCTTAGCTACTAGGAAGCCTGGGGCATAGGTTTACCACATTCTGAAAGCAGTGTAAGCTGGAAATGTCTCGTGCAGTCTATGTACGATGTTACTACTTTGTACCAGTCTGAGCTGATGTTCAGAGGAAGTCAGCAGATAGTTGTCTGCCGGGACATACACGGGCTTTTCGGAGGGACGGTGCTGTTACAATGCTGCCATCTGGTGGTGTCTTCCTGAAAAGGTCAGCTTTCTGCATTGGTATTTGTTAAAGACTGTTTCTAGAAAGAAATTTTAAGAAGGCTTAACAGTAAAAATGCCATGCCTGAGAAGTGATCTATCTTGGGATTTTTTTTAATGTTAAAGCAATTCATGATTCTTGCTAATATATAAAGGATTCCATCAAACCGTTGCCACACAAAGAACAGTCACCTGTCTACCATAAAATTCCACTTTTTTCACATGTAAACTGGCCTGGCATATATATTTTGTACAAAGTTTACTCAAACTCAGTACTCCAGTTTGAGGACTTAATTTCAATGGCCAATTAGTGGTTTTAAAGCATAACATTCTAGGAAGTTTAGAGTGGTCTTACCAGAAAGAACATTTGCTGTTAAAACCAGAGAGTAGTTTCTGTTGTACCGACAACCCTGACGACCACAAAAGTTGGCTGCAGTGGAGAGATCTCCTCACTGTGCAGAGGACCTTGTGGTTGGAGAGCAGGGGATTTCCTTTTAGGAGCTACTCTGGTGCATAACAGCCACCTGTCCTTAATGGTTAAACTTCCAAAACCCCAAATTAAGAAAAAAAATCCTTTGATCTAAATAGCTTCCATCACGACCTTGAGACTTTAAAGAAGAGTGCTAGCATCAATTTTTGAAGATCAACCAAAAAGTATTGGAGATGACAGCAGTTTGTAAGGGGTGCATGATAACTCCACTACTGACTTCCTCTCTGGCAGGTGGAAACCTTGTGCTATTTTGAACAGATTAAAGATTTTTTGTAGAATGTGGTAAACAGATACCCTTTTTCTGTTCATTTGTTTAATTTCCATCCTGCCACTTCATCCCATTTGACTGACATGTGGCCGACCAGGTCATCCCCAGAGCTGGTCTTCTCTGTGACTGTGCCTCTTGCACTAATTAATACCCGGATGTGCCCTGGATTACTTCTGTAATTCCTTCTGTGCCAGCTCCGTACCTCCGTCCGTTAGCAACACTGTCCTATCAACAAGAGGAATGGTATTAACAGTAGCATGAAATACAGGTCTGTATTATCATTCTAAAGCTACTGTTAACTTCATGAAGTTCGTAATAATCACATAAACTGCAGAAATTGGAGCAAGTGCCTAAATTTTGCTGTTTTTGGCATTACTGTGGAACCACGTACAATAGAAAGCAATGCAAGACTTGTAACCTCTTGCCACTTCTTGTAATTTGAGGACTGTAAAATGTTCCCCTTCAGGTTATTTTGCTAATGGTACCCACAAGTTGCCTCTCGGTACACATGTACTTTGTTCCAAAATTTTTCTTTGGTATTTGGAGCTACAGAAAGTCAAGGGCTGGAAATTTTAGCATTCAGTGTAAGCTTCAAGCTTAGCAGTTTTCTTTAACCTGAGACAATATTTGATTCCTAGGTCTGTTTGGAGGCAGATTTTCATTTATCTAAATAAAATGCAACCTAATCAAATACCATGGATTTTCTTTCTGTAATTTCTCCTTAATTCAGTTTTGATTGCTTTTCTCCTTCCTGCTGTGATATTTGTCACCCGTTTAACTTCGACTTTTTTAATAACGTAGCCATCCCTTTGTGACACTGTCCACAGAGCATCATGGGAGTTGGGAGTGTATTTGGGGTATGTGTGAATTCACAAAAATCTCTATCACTGATTCCTAATGTTTTCAGATCAGGGACCCCTCTAATTGGAATCTTACTAAACCTCTGGCTGGCCTCCAAAACCCAAAATGAACACAGTGTCATATACTGTCTTTGGATAATTGCACAGACTTACTCTGAAGTCCCCACCAGCAACAGAACTTGTTACCCAACTCTACCAGAAAGGAAATGGAGCCCTGGCTGGCGTGGCTCAGTGGATTGAGCACTGGCCTGAGAACCAAAGGGTCACTGGTGCAATTCCCAGTCAGGGCACATGCCTGGGTTGTGGGCCAGGTCCCCATTAGGGGGTGTGCGAGGGGCAACCAAATAGTGATGTTTCTCTCCCTCTCCACCTGCTTTCCCTCTGTCTAAACATAATTAAAATCTTTAAAAAAGGAAATGGATGTGATCCAAGGATTCCAAGTATCCAAGGAGTAAGAGGTTGGAACCTGCACACAACCAGTGTGTCCAGTAACTTCCCGTTCATGGGACTTCATTTCCAGTGTGATTCCGGAAGTGCATCTGCTGGACAACCTTGCATTTCTGTTTAAATGCATTTTCTCTTCGCCAAATTCCTTACCATCTCCAGCCTTGGTCACTGGAATAAGGAAAATGATCTGGGGCCTCCTTTTATTTATGCGACAGTTGAAATTTAGATCACCTCCTTTTAAGTGGTAACACGGGTTTTGGCTAAGGTTGGCATGGTGGTCAAGATAATGCTTTTTTTTTTTTTAATGGGACAGCTTAGAAATCAAACCCATTTCTTGGTATTGAAATGTAACGGGCATCCTTACAGTATTCTACTCTGTAATCTCATAAAACTGCAAACTTTTGCATTGCCTAATGACATTAAAATTTTTAACCCCAGAGAAGAGTTGCGTCTGACCTCTAAAGACAGGGGTGTCAAACTAATTTTCACCGAGAGCCTTCAAAGGGCAGAATGTAATTTCAACTTCTTAACAGTCAAGGAGTAGTTACATCTACACAGTCCTGAAATTATTTTGGCCTGTAATGAGTCTGACACACCTGTCTTAAGAAAAGCTTTGCTCTAACACTCCTATTTGGAGACCAGAGGTAAAGTAACAGTTTCTAACTGATTGAAGTAGGACCCAGTGTGTTACTTCCCTACAACAGGATATGGAGCATCAAAGCCTAGTTCTAACTGGACCCTGTGTTTTTCCTTATATTCTAATACAAACAATTCAGCTTAATTAATGAGCACAGAGGCAATACCATAAATTAGGCTAATTTAAAAACCACATTGTGTTTGATCCTGTTAATCCCTGTTAGCTTTAAAAGCTCCCCTAATACCTGGGAAAGTGGGGGTGGGGTTGCCTCAACACAATCAGGACTCTTTAAAAGGCTTTACAGAAATGATTCCACAGGGTTGGCCCTCGGCTATTGTAAGGAATGGGATTGTTCCTAAGGGCCATTAAAATAGTTTAGTACGGAAGTGATGCTATCCAGTCTAGATACTGATTCCCAAGGCAGTGTTGGGGGGTGGGCTGTGGTTTGTGAGTTTTTGGTTATCACAATGGCTAGGTGGTAGGGAGAGATCTGATCAGATCGCTGGGGAGGAATAGGAAGGGGCGGTAGTAGGAGGTTGCCCAGGGCAATGATAAATGGTCTAGTTTGCGATTGGCTGAGAAGTGGAATGCCTGCAGAGCGCATGGAATTATGGGTGAGAAGATTTGAAATAAAAGAAGGGCTCTGGCTCTCGGGCTGTCTTCTGCCCTTGGGACGCCTGGGTGATCATGCTGCAGCTGCCTGTTTCTCAACAGACGGTAATCTGGGTATATTTTGGATGGGAAAAGAAACTCGGGGGCACAGCCTTGGATTGGGCTGGCCTGGTAGAGGGTGGCAGGGTTATTCTTTGGATGTTCTAGGAGGGGACAAGGTTTGTGGCAGGTGCCTGCCATTCTTCCAACATTGTATAGCTTTTGTTTCTTATTTTTTAGTTTGTAAACTAACTATGGAAATAAGATAATTATAAACAGGGGGAATTGATAGGAGAACCCAGGTGTTAAAGATATTAGCCTTAATTGATAGGCTTAAGTGGCATGCTTGTGGAAAGCTGTTACTCCAAAGTTGTGTAACTTTTGCATACAGACTCTTGTCTTATCACCACATCTTTGCCTCATCTCTGGCATTTTGCCTAGAGGGTGGTGGCAGGCGGCGGGACCCCCCACTTGCAGCTGGGTAATATAAGTTGTTACTGGAAATTGATGAGTGGGGGTTACAGGTACTCGTGATCCTGCAAGGCCCAGGACAACCCCTTTTAAGAAGGGTTTCGATCTTAAATGCCAAGGCAGCTAGAGATTTTCTTCCAGCTTTCGGAGAATTAAAGGCTGGAGGTGGGAGGAGACTAGCTACCAAGTTGTCATGTAATCCAGACAGGAGCTGATATAGGCCTGTATTGAAGTAGAGGCAGTTTGCAGAAATGTAGGTGTGACCAAGAGACCGTGGGAGGTGTAATCAACAGGACGGGAGACCTGACCGGCTGTTCTGGGAGCAGCGTGGGGTGAAGAAGGAAGTTTCTGGATTGTCAGCCTAGATGTGGGGTCGTGTCCTGACATGGGTGGAGGTGGTAAGGTAATATTAGTTTTGGAAACGTTCCCTCTGAGAGACAAGCTCTCTCAGGATAAATGCTGAAAGGGCAGCTGGGTGGATGGGTCTGACAAACAGACAAGAGTTCAGGACAGACAGATGTCAATGGCTCTTCTGTGCTTCCTCCGTCCTGGAGACGCCGAGGGAAAAATACCCCGCGGCAGACCCTTGCAACGTTGCTTATAATCTCACGCACAGGCTTCGGGGGCTGGGAAAGCCGAGGCTTTAGAGTTCGCCCTGTCACAGCAGTTCCATTTCAGAATGTGTAACCACCCAGGCTGGTGTGGGGCGAATGTTGTCCCGGGAACCAAAAGGTTGCTGGTTCCATTCCCAGTCAGGGCACATGCCTGGGTTATGGGCCAGCTCCTTGGTGGATTGATGTTTCTCTCCCCTCCTCCCTTCCCCTCTCTCTAGAAATGAATAAATAAAATCTTTAAAAAAATAGAATGTGTAACCAAGTACTTCACAAGATTTTTCCTGTTGTGAAAGTGCTTTACAAACTGGGAAGCAAAATGCACTGAAATGCTTTAATACGAGTAGAAGAGAAACTTCAATAACGTTGTTCGCCAGAAGCAACGTTGTAGCTGCCGATGATTGCTGTGTCCTTGACTATTTTGGTGGAATCAGAATAATGACATTGATCTTCCTAACATTTTATAAATGTTCTTTTTTAGAGAGGGAACACCCGCTTTGTCCATCTGCATTTCTTTGTCCTCCCTCTCTCCCTGGTGCCTTTTCAGGGTCTGTGGCTAGCACACCCCCCGAAACACGTGAAGGGGGCAATGTGAGGTGGGGCCCGGTGGGAGGGGCCAGCCTGCTCTCCTCTGGCCCCTCCCGAAGCTTCTCAGACCGTGTTGCGCAGGCGCTTGTTCTCTTGGACTGGCTGCCCTCTGTCCTCCGAGCAGGGGCATCTCTAACTGAAAAGATAAAAGAATCCTTTAAAATTTTTTTTATTGTTCAATGGCAGTTGTCCCCACTGATAAAAGAATTCTTTAGTCCATCTATTTTTTTTTTTTGCTAACCACAAAAATTTAAACAGCAGCTAAGAAGGATTTCTGAGGCAGTGTGCTAGTAGCAGAAAGGGTCCAGGATGGGAGACCTGGGCTCTGTATTTACCACTAAGTCATTTTATGACCTTGGCTGATGGTCTAACACCGTTCCGTCTCTTTGTCCTGACCCTTCTTCTCTTACAGTAAAGAGGCCCATTGAGGTGGCCTCCTCAAAAACTAGGTAAGGAGCCAGGGGTGGGCCAGAAAAAAAAGAAAAAAACAAACAAACTAGGGTATTCAGTGACTCCTGTGCTCACAGGTTAGCAAGGGCATTGGGAGCGAAACGGCGATCGGGATGAATGCTCTGACAGGCGTCCGGCGGCACCTTGCGGGCACCTCAGTAAGACAGCCTGCCTCGAATCAAGGAGCTGGCTAAGAATGGCACATTGATGGCCCCTGGTTATTATAATTCGGAGAAAAGTAGAACGAAGAAAGGGCAGTAATACTATAGCAGAAATTACATAGTGGCACTGGTCCTCAAAACGTGGCTCCTGGCATCATCATCATCATCTGGGAACCTGTTCAAAGTGCAGATTCTTAGGCCCACCCTGGACTGACTGCATTAGACCCTCTGGGGGCAGGGCCTGGGATCTGTTCTACCAAGCGCTGCAGGAGATTCCACTGAACCGATGTTTCAGGACCACTGTGGTAACGGACTGCAACCGGGATTTACATTAATTGCCTCAATAATGGAACAAATGGGTTGACAGTTTGACAAAGCTCTCCTCTTCCTGACCTCCCCCCTCCCACCCCGTGACCCCCCTGTTTCTACCCCCACAGAAAGGTTTGTACATTTGGGAAAGTATCTGAGCCACATGGGAGTTTGCATCCTGGCTGCACTGCGTTTGAATCCATGGGAGCGTTGGCTGGGTAACCTCAGAAAAACTACCTAACTTCTCTGGGCCTCAGTTTCCCCACAGGATGGTAACCATGGGGTCATGGGTGATAACACATGTCTGACAGGACTGGTGGGAGGAGTCAGTGTTGGCACCCAGCACACAGACACCCAACGCAGGACCTCACTTGCTCCCCCTTCAGCTGACAATGAATTCTTTCCAAGGAGCAATCTTCGTGACCACCAGGGAGTTTGGGCAGGGCGGGCATTACACATTTTCCAGAGAATGCAAGAGCTCAATTCAAGAATGTAATAACCAACTTTTTGTTTTTATCCTCACCCGAGGACAGGCTCGGCAATTTTTTTAGGGAGGGGAAAAGAGGAAGAGAGAGGGGGAGGGAGGCAGAGGGAGAGACAAATCTGCTGGCTGCCTCTTGTACACACACTGATGAGGGCGCGAACCTAGTCATGTGCCTGGACTGGGAATTGAACCCACAACCTTTTGGTTTATGGGATGCTGCTCCAACCAAATAAGCTACATCAGCCAGGGAAATACCCACTTTTTATGTTCAAAAATATTTTGGTCTTTCCCAAGGAGAATGAAATGACACAATAGCATTTCATCCTGGTCCATATTTTTTTTTGTTTGTTTTTTGCACTAAAGATTCTTGATCTAATTTTTATTTTATTTAGAGCTGTTAATAGTTTAGTTGATATTCCGGTAAGGAGCAAGTTTTAGAGGAGGCAGACTAACTGATGTCTCTTAAGATCATTAACTTTTTATTCACTTAAAATTTTTATGCCTAAATCTTGTTTAACTGCAAATAATTTGTTGTGGACTAAAATGGACGACTGAAACAAAGCAAAATGCACCTGAAGTATTTTGAGGGCTATGAGAATTGTCATGAAAATGCAGTCAACCTGGAGAACAAGTTACAATCCATTACATTCCCCATGCAAAACACCGTCTTAGAATTCATTCCCCGTGAATTCCTGAAGACAGGGCTCCAGGGCCCCCACCAACCCCCCAGCCAAATTGCAGGAGGTGTCCTCTGCACATACACTATGCCCCCACCCATCCCTCTGAGTGCCTGCATCTTTTTAACATAGCAATTTGGTGTTTTACCTGAACCGCGAGGCCAGAGCCTGACATTCTGAACTGAAGGGATCAGTGTGAATGCCTCTACTCTTTCCCTTTCTTACAAGGGGAAATAGCAAAACACAGTGGTGCCCAGTTCCTATGGCTTTCACAAGGTGTGTCTGCCGTACCTTCTTGTGTCGTTATCCAGAGCTGGCCTTATTTACCAGTGTTACTGAAAAACTCTACGGTACACTACATCCCTCCAGTACAAAACAAGTCGACGTTTTGGCAATACTGTTGAGTGAGTGCGGCACCATCTATCATCTCCCCTGGGGAAGGAGAAGCGGTGGAACCGGGGGCATTAGTAAAGGCTGGCTCAAGAATGACAGCTCTAAGGCTCAGGTGTTTGCTTGTACCGTCCACTGAAGCCTCTAAATCTTGTTTCAACTGGTGGTATGAGAAACTCAGAACAAATGGAAAATGTGTAACCTCTTGGGGTTAATTAAATAGGCACAAAGCATCCCAGGATAGGCTGGGTGGGCGTCTCTCTGTACCCCACTCTTTTGGGAGGAGCTGGCGTTTTGCAGGAGCCACAGCGGAGGTGTGTGAAGGCTGGCACTGAGGCCCCTGCACCACACACATAACGAGTAGCTGAACACAATGCCTGTTCCCCCCTTGACTGAGTTGCTGGAACTGCACGGGGGCGGGGGGCAGGCTGGCATCTTGCTCTGACCCCCCGTCTCTCCCACCAGATCTCTCATGGTCCCCATCGCTTCCTACTCTTCAAGACCCTGTCCCTCGGCTGCAATCCGTGTCCCTGCAAGGTGGCCTGCGGGTGGCAAGGATGGCTGGGGGGGCGGGACCCGATTTCCCTTTCACAGACATTCAGAGAATGAACTTGGCACAAAACTTGCATCTAAGTTGGGAGATGTGAATGTAGGTTCTTGTTTTTAATGAGAAGACAGTTGAAACCACTCAGTATTGGATAATCTAGGTTTATGTAGCACGAGTGTGTGTCATCTTCAGGCAAACACCCCTCGGCCTCTTCTTCTTCCCTGTAAAAGAAAACTGGGTGGCACCGCCTCCAGACCATTCCTGGTCACACTTTGGCTGTTCACGGCATCTCGGCATAGAGCTCACGCATTTCAGTCACAGCATGTCACGGCCCGATGCAGTTATCAACGTCTTCCTTTTGCAAACGTGGAGAATGCCATTCAGGTCAGGAAACCACCCAGTTCTGCAGCCGGAGAGGAGGTAGGGCCGGAGAACGGCTCCGTGGGCCATGCTCTCCACTTCCCCTCCTTGCGTCCTGTTGGGTTGACAAAGGAATGCACAGATACAAACCATATACCCATTTAATTAAATGTTTATTCAATGAAGGTATGTATAAAAACTTACAAATCTGAGAACTCAACTATACATGAGATGGGTGGCAGGATAGTCAGTTTAACATACACGTACAGCACAGCTAGTAACTGCTCTTTCCTCTCCCCTTCGGTCCTTGTTTCTGGCTTCTGCTTTGTCCCGGGAGACCGTTCAGTTATTGGCCTAAGGGAAGACTAAAGGGATAATTTTCCTGCTTTCAGGCCAATAGAGAAAATTTCAGGTGTTAAAAAAAAATACTGGACTAAATATCAAAGTCCCATTTTTTTGTCCAAATGCAATTGTTTTTTGGTCCTGATTTCTCTTTGCCATTATTGATGTTTCAATGAATGTTGCCAGTAAACTACTAGCATTAATTTTTAAAACCATTAAAGCTACCACAGGTCCTGCTCACAACTTCCCCCATAAGATCTGTATCCTTTTTCCTGTGGTAGACACACTGATTTAAAAGCAGCAGGTTGGGGCTAAAACAAATTTACCGCTGGCAACTGCTAGAATGGCGTATCAATTCTATTCAGAAAAACCATCTGTTGAATAGTACTTTCAAATCTGATTTTTAAAACCAACAAATTTGTCAAAAATGAAAACACAGTATCCTGTTGTTCACCTTTGAAAGAAGCCAGCACTTAGATAAGGCATGTGCATTAATTCACCTGTTTATAGGAAGTATCCACACATTTTCTCTTACGAACACACAAACTCACAGCTTGTCATGTTTTACCCAAAAATTAAGATTGCCATCACATTATTACTTTTTCTCTGTGTTTTGTTCAAGTAAGTTCCTTAACTAATGATTTTCCTCGACTGGACATAATCTCAAAGGATGCATTCTGACATAGGACACCCGGAGGGTGAGTGCCGAGAACGTCCTCTGGGGTCTGAGGTTCCCACACCGAGATTTTGCATAGTACAGAGCCCAGCTGTGTCTCGAAGAAGCACGCTGTATTTTCTGACATTGCTCTTCTGAGAAGGAAGACACTACCCAGGGAAGGTCATAATTTTAGCTTACCAAATTGCATTCTGGTTGTTTTGTGTTATACCCTTCATTAGTTCCAAGCATGTTTTTAAATAATCTGAAACTCAAAATCCATTTGAGTTGAAAAGTACTACAGACTGTTTTCTTTCCGATATCCCCTGAATCAAAGGAAATGTTCCAGGTTTATAATGCACACAGCCTTGACGGAGGAGGGGACGGCGGGAGGGGGGCGGAGGGAGGGGCCAGGGACCCGTCTGTGTCATGCCATAGAACCACGGTTCTGAATAGGGAAAGGGAAGGGAGTCTTTGTAAAAATGACAGTTTTAAAAAGGTAAGCGACGTTCAGTCTAACAACACTGTTTCCTGTTCCTTTTTAATGGACGCTAACACAGGGTGGTCAGGTTCCGTTACTTCGGAGTCCCCACTGCCCAGCAGGATGGAGCGCCCCTCATCCAGGGCAAAAGCGTCCGAGTTTTGGTTCTGGCACGAGTGTTTGACAACCTCGTTGGGGGTCGAGAACGTTTTGTCGCACAGGTTGCATTTGTAGGGCTTGTTAGTTTGTACCAGCATGTTGTCCATCTGACTCCCTTCCTCGAACGTGCAGAGCTCTAGGGTCTGTTTGTCCACCATGGTGTACGTGTCGATGCTCTGGTTGAGGCACACATGCCGGGCGGCCTGGTTGGCCCTGCAGAAGCTCTTGTCACAGGTGCTGCACTTGAAAGGCTTCCCGGTGTGTATGTACATGTGCTCCCTCCAGTGGCTCTTCTGGATGAACTTGCGCCCACATATCGTGCACTCGTACTTGCGCCTCTTGACCTCCCTCTCTTGGTCCGCCTGCTCCAAGTTGTCGATGTCCGCAATGTCCGAGGGCGGTGGCGTCTCTGAGTGCTGCTGTCCGTCGATGATGGGGGAGTCTGAGATGTGCTGCAGCTCACTGTCACTAATCATCCCAGCCTCAGGCACTTCCAGGGCGTCTTTTCCGAGGTCCGCCGCGTTGCTGCAAAGGGACAGGGGCACTCGGCCTTCTCCGGGCTGGCTGGCCGTGAAGGGGACGCCGGTGTGAATCTGCAGGTGCTCCCGCAGACTGCTCCGGAGGGTGAAGCGCCGCCCGCACAGGTGGCAGGCGTAGTACTTTGGGAAGCTGCCATTCCTCTTCATGATGCTTGGCTTGACGTGGGCTATGGTGAGGGTCGCGGGCTGCTCGTCAGAGGAAGAGGCTTCCAGGTTGGTCTCCTCCCCGGCGGCAGGGGCAGGAACAGGAGTGGAAACGAGTTCTGGAGACAGGGAGGTCTGCAGGGGGTCCGAGGGAGCCATATGTGTCCGGTTCACCTGGGTCAGATTGGAAGCCAGCTGAGACAGCTGCGCAGCCTCAGGTGCCTGCTCCTGGCTCATCCTGGAGGTCTGGGGCCGGGGTTCTCGCCCGAGTTTTTCAGGGGCCGAAGCAATCTTGGTAGCTTGTCTCAACTGATGATCTGCAATCTGAATGCCATACAAGGAAGAAGCCAGTGGGAAAACTTGGTCGGGGTGGGAAAAGGCTCCCTGGCTGGCCAGGCTGGCCTCCTGGATCAGAGGGTAAGCGTGCAGAAACTTGATCCCCTGTTCCAGACGGACGGGATCGATCAGCTGAGGGGCCATCTTCCCAGTGTACATCAAATGTAGGAGATAGCTGAAAATATCAGGCTGTATGTCAGTTGGTTTCAGACGGACACATTCACTGAAAGAAACAAGTAAAAAGTCTGTCAGTCAATGCCAATCCCCGCCTCAAATGGTAACATCCAGTCTGAAGAAAAAAAACAGGCACTTTTAAAAAGGCAAATGAAACACGAACACTTTCCAATTCTTACTGAAAGTTGAATGAAATGGAATGGAATACTCAAGAAGACAACAGGAATCTATATAATTTAACGTTAACTACATTAAGAACAGAAGTACAATAACCATATTCTAAAGAACTAAGAGAGGTTCATGTTAAACAGATGGACCTTCCTAACACACAGACTGTTGAAGCAGTTTTCCTCCTAGTAATTTATGTAAAACTGTATCAAATTTGTGTTTTCTGGAGGGGATCCGTCTTGCTATCAGTCTGGGTGGCTGGCCTGTGACTCAGTACTGGTTAGGAGCCAGTGACCTGGCACGTCTTTCGGCTAAAAGTCTAGGATTCATTATTGACCCCAATGCCACCCAGAGGTCAGCAGATCTTTTAAGGTAAGTCAAACAATCTACCTGATTAGAAAGTTTCTTCATTTGTAAAACGACCTGGGGAGCCGGACTAGTATGAACAAGTGCCGAAGAGCAAAACAGAAGTGAGAGAAAAATAAGCCTCACTCTGTGTCCACCACGGCGGTGGGCACTGCAGAGGCGGGACAGAAGGCCAGCTGCGCTCCAGCTCCAGTGCCGTCGGATCACCTTCCCAGCACCGCTGGAGCGCATTCGAAAGCAGCTGTGGGGCTGCTGATTGTCTAACTCTTAGACCTCGGTGTTTGCATCATCCCAGAAAAGGCATACTGATTCAAGCAGCGGTAGTCAAAGAGGTCCGTTCCCACGGGCTCTTCCTGGGCCATCGGCAATGACAGAAGCTTTACTGCGTCAGCTACCAGTGAGGTACAGCTCTACATGTTATGAGGCATATGCTATCATCCACTTCATGAATATACTGTATTCGTGTAAACAATGCATGCTCAAGTCCAAAGACGCCTTCTTTAAATGTCTTTAGATTTTATCGTTTTTTCAAAACTTGTGAAAATTTTAAAATATTTTTATTTTAAATCATTTTTCGTTTTTCAATTATAGTGGACATTCAACAGTATATTAGTTTCCGGTATATGCCTTAGTGATTAGACATTACATAACTTACTAAGTGATCATCCTGATAAATCCTGTATTCACCTGACACCATACATAGTAATTAGAAGGTGACTCTGTTCCCTGTGCCGTACTTTTCATCCTTATGGCCATTCTGTAACAAACAATTTGTACTTCTTAATCCCCTCACATTTTCCACTCTCCCCCTAACCCCCTCCCACCTGGCAAGCATCAGAATGTTCTTTGTATCTATGAGTCTGTTTCTCTTCTGCTTGTTCGTTTATGTTGTTTTTCAGATTCCATTGTTGATAGTTATGTATTTATTGCCATTTTACTGTTTATGGTTTTGATCTTTTTTTTTCTTCTTCTACTTAAAGAAGACCCTTTAACATTTCATTTAATATTGGTTTGGTGATGAACTCCTTTAGCTTTTTCTTGTCTGGGAAGCTCTTTATCTATCCTTTCATTCTAAATGAAAGCTTTGCTGGATAGAGCAATGTTGGTTGTAGGTCTTTGGATTTCATGACTGGGAATATTTCTTTCCAGCCCCTTCTTGCCTGTAAGGTCTCTTTTGAGAAATCCACTGACAGTCTGATGGGAGCTCCCTTGTAGGTAACTAACTACATTTCTCTTACTGCTTTTAAGATTCTTTGACTTCAACTTCTTGCATTTTAATGTAAGACATTACGATGTGTCTTGGCGTGGGCTTCTTTGGGTTCACTTAGTTTGGGACTTAAATGTCTATTTTCTTCACCAGGTTAGAAAAGTTTTCTGTCATTTTTTTCAAATAGGTTTTCAATTTCTTGCTCTTCTCCTAGCACCCACAATGATGCAAATGCTGGTATACTTCTAGTCATCCCAGGGGCTCCTTACGCTATCCTCATTTTTGGATTCTTTTTCTTTTCCTTTTTGCTGTTATGATTGGGTGTTCTTTGCTTCCTTATATTTCAAATCACTGAGTGATTCTCAACTTCATCTTCTTTACCGTTGATTCCCTTCTTTATTGCAGTTAGTGTATCCTCATTTCTAACTGGTTCTTTTTCATGGTTTTCATGTCCTTTTTTATGCTGCTGTGGTTCTAAGTTCATTGAGCATTCTTATAACTACTGCTTTGAACTCTGTATCTGTTAGGCTGCTTGCCTCCATTTCATTTAGTTTTTTTTCAAGTTTTCACTTGTGACCTGTTTCTTTTGTCACATTTTGATTGCTTCTCTGTGTCTGTTTCTATGTATTAGGTAAAGCTGCTATGTCTCCCAGGCTTGGTAGAGTGGCCTAATGTAGTAGGTATCCTGTGGGGTCCAATGCACAGCCTCCTGTTCATCTGAGCTGGGCACTCCAGGTGTGCTCCCCCTCCACCCCCACAACACGGGCTATGTACATTTTCTGGTCTAGTCGAAACTTGAATGCTTTTGGCACATCAATGGAAGGGATTCCCTCCCAGGCTGAATGACTGAAAAGATTGGCAGGGGCCACTGTGGAGAATCAGCTGTGCAGGGTCCCACCCCACAGAGCAGAACTTACTTCAGCTGGGCTCTGGTGCCTGCTGAGCCCACCCCTTGAGTGTGTTGCTTATGGAGGTGGTCAGGTGGCGCTCTGGTGTGGGTGAAGCTGTCCAGGTGGTATACTGGCTCTAGGGCCTCCTACTAGGTGCAGGCCAAGGTCAGCCACTGCCTTTGTTCTGCTCAGGGCCTCCTGGCATGAGCTACACAGCAATCTGCAGATGGCTGCTACTTGCATTGGCTTTGGAGATACTTGAGAGAGGCCAAGCTACAACCAAGGCCAGTCGTGCTAGTGCTGGGCTTGGGGCCACTTATTGAGAGGTACGGGGTACACAGAGGCCAGATGCTCCTTTTTTTTTTTTTTTTTTTGTGAGGTTTTAGGGAAGTCTGAAGCATGTGCCAAGACAGACCATTTGCATGGAAAAGTCAAGGGAATAGTGTGTGTTGGGCCCACAAATTGGGTAGTGAATCACCATGGTGGGGCTAATGGTGATAACCAGGTTGATGGAGACTCAGATATGGTTCCTACCCTCCATCGCTGTGGGGGGGGACTCAGAAAAGGAACAATGGCCTCTGCCAGCACTTCTGTCTGGGAGAAAGCTGCCCCTCCAGCTATGGCATTGATGCCAGAAAATTCAGTTCCTCCCTGTATGTCCCTGCCACCTTTTGAGCAGTTGCCCCAGTGCTGGCTCGGAGGGAGTGAGTCTAAGTCCAAGTGCAAGTCCATCAGAGGGCCCTTTAAGAAGAACACCTGGGAGGGACTTTACAAACTCTTGGTCTCCCTCAGCCACAATCCCCACTGGTTTTTTACAACCAGAAGTTGTGAGACTTCTCTTCCTGGCACTGAAAGCCTGGGCTTTGGGGCCTGGGACGGGGCTGGGACCTCCACTACTGCAGTAACCCATCCTGGTTTGTATGCGCCACACGTGGGGGGTACGGGGCCAGCGGTACTCAATCTCCACCCTTCCTACTAGTCTGGATAGGACTTCTTCTTTACATGTTCAGTTGTAGGACTTTGTTCAGCTAGATTTCAGCAAGTTCTCAATGATGGCTGTTCTGTAGTCACAAATCTGATGTGGCGGGGGGAGGATCTGAGTACTGCATTTACTTACGCCACCACCTTGACCAGATAGAATCAGTTTTTACTACACTGCCTCTTACTATGATGACTATTTTTGTCTGCTTCACCTGTTGATTGTATTAACAAATAGTTTCCATATGTTAAAATATTAACAGTATAATCAGCTCTTCTAAATGTAATGTTTTATGCTATTAAAAAGGGGGGGAAGTGACTAATAGGAATTTAAAGATTTGAATAATTACTGTATTACTGTACTAATATATTTTGATAAATGCATACAAACAATTATGTGAAAAGTATGTGACTACAAACTGTGACAGCCAAAGAATAAAGGTCAAGCATAAAAACTAGCTTTGACAGAATAAAGGGGGAGACTTAACATGGCTCTATTTAAAAAAGAAAAGAAGACATGGAGATCATTCACATCTTTATTTGGACTCTTTTTATAGTCCTTTAAATTATATATTTATATTCCTTTAAACAGGAATGCAGATACAGGTGTTCTTCCCATTAATTACAAGGTGAGCACCCACAATATTTTATGTACACTATAACATGTTCAGGTGCTCTAGGGAAGTTCAATATTCAGAATTAAGCTTCAAAGGTTATGTGTGGTGAAGAATACACTCATAATGTAACCAACTCCAAAGTGAAGACATAACCAGAAGGGACCTCCCCAGGGCCAGGCGGAGGCCCAGCGACCTGGGAAACTACAGGCCTTTAGGGAGGCAAATCTCCCCCAGGAGATGACGGGGCACCTTTCGTTCTGCCAGGATGAAACGTTCCTCTAGGCAGAAGGAAGAGTTAGAGTTAGTGAGTCCTTCTGACGCCCAAGGAAGAAACGGAAAGGATGGAAACCCCAAACTGGGACTAGGTTTTTTAGCATCCCTGCGGGGCACCAAGCAGATCCCCTTTACATAAAAACTTTGTCGTCAGTTTTGTAATTTCCTCTCACTTGGTATTGTATAGGCCGTCCTTTGTCTAAAGCCTGTGAACCAGTGTGACTGGACAGTACACATGTCACATTTTAAAGAACTCCGTGTATTCTTGGATGGCAAAGAAAAGATGGGGCTGGGGAGCCCCCAGTCCACACTTCAGCCAGGCCTGGAAAGAGCAGGTTCCCAGGGGCCCCGAAGAGCTGGTGAGAAACCTCCAGGGAGAGGAAGACAGGGTCCCTCGGGGTTACCGCCAGGGCCCAGGGTGGTTTCCAGACACCAATTTATCTTGATTTCTTCACTACATATTTTTTTCTTAAGGCAGAAGCACATACACACACATGAACATGTAAAAGAGTTGTTTTAAGAAGTTCCTTGTGTCAGCTTCTAGCCATCTCCATCCTTGACTGCTTTCACTCTTACGAAAGAAGGCAGCTGACCTTCTTCCTTAATCATTCAGCTCGCTGTGGGCCACTTGGTTCTTTCCAAGTCCTCCGGGAAGAACATGGCTCTCTACATACAGTTCTACCCGAGTGGCTTGATTTGCAGATGTCTGCTTGACAGAGCTCTTTTATGCAGGAGAAATAGCTCCAACACAGTTCCAAGCCCTTCCTATAAACCTCCACAGTAATTTACAGTTTCAATTTTTCATTCACTAGCATGTTAAGATGGGCTTAAAGAACTTTGAAAATGAAGATTTAAAATGTAAGCCACTGTTAGAGGCTGTACTTAACAAGGCCTGTCTTAGTAGTTTTATTTTTGAGAGCGGCAAAGTCTGCAGCCCTTAGAAGAGTGTACATGGCATAGACACCTAGTGGTCACTATAGACTGAACACTCCGAGCAAAGTGGGAAAAAAGGATCCTCTCACCCTCCCTCTTAAGTAGCCAGGCGGCAATTCTTAGTGGCTTCCAAAAAAGGTGCTGGTTTAAAGGCATGTCTCTGGTCTTCACCCAGTATTTGCTTTGTCCCAATGAGGGGGGCAAGGCCACTGGGCGGCAGTCCAAATGGCACGTGCCATCTCTGGTGCAGTGACACGTTGTAGCCTAGACTTGGGACTAATGTCTCCTTGGCTATCATGCTCCCTGGTTGGAGAGTCCTTTACTTGCTGCTGACACTTAGGTAAGTTTCCTGCAGCTGTTTAGAAGTCACTGTATTCTTTTACTCCTACAATTAAACTCTTTTCCGAGGCAGGTTTAATTCAGTGTGTTGGGACTTCCAAGTATACTTCAGCTATGAAGCCTCAGGAGCATGAAGTCTCTGAGAATGAGGTAAAAGGGGGCGACCTTAGAGCCACAAGATAAAGCGTATCAAGTGGCTGTTATGTACGGATACCTGAACTACACACTATGGAGTCATTTAAAAAGATTTGTAAAACCCAATGTCTGCCTTCAAGAATCATACAAATGGGTGGGGGGGCAAGTGGACAGATAGCAACAACCAAAGGGAAATGGACAGATCTTACAAATGGCATAAAGTGCTAGGAAATATGAGACAGGAAGAGCTAGCTTTTGATCCTTTTGGTTTGGGCAGGGGTCACGGAGAGGTGAACTGGGACTTAGGGGGTAGGCAGAATACCAGCAAAGTGTGGGTCAGGTGTGGGGTGGGGATCAGGCCAGAGGGGGCTCGGGCTTCAAAAGACAAAATAAGGAAACCTGTACATTATTCTGATGCGCAACGGGCACACTCCAGGTTTCCAGTTACAGGAACAACACACACAGTCTAGCAGGTGTCTGATCAAAGGGACACTACAATCAAAGCAATGCTCAGGAATATTAATCTGTGATGTGGAAATGATTAGAAAATGGAAATGAAAAGGGGAAGGAAAGGATTATATGAAAGGCATGTTGAAGAAAACCTGATTTTGGAACAGATAAGACAGAATTTTAAGGAGATTTTGAGCTTTTCAAAGATAAAAATGTGGGGAAGCTAGGAGGGACCTGGGCAAGACTTAATTCAGTTTCAGATACGCTGAATGAGATAAAGGAGGAAGTACACGGTAACTGTCAGACAGGCGGCCTGGGGAGGAGAATAAAGCTCAACGTCAGAGCTGTAAACTGGTTTCCAGCAGAGGCCCGACCCTCAAGGGTGCACGCCCATCAAGAGAGCGTGCACAGTCCAGAGCAGCGCTCACCTAAACTCACCAAGGGCAGAAAAACGTGGGACCAGCAGAGCTATCGGATGCAGTCGGTGACCCTTAAGAAGGAAGAAAACACCAAGTGTTGCAGAGGACGCGGCCCACAGGGACCGAGAGGACAGAGTGGTTCTAACAAAGAGGCGACCTCTGCACAAGGGTTTCAGGCCACGCCCACGGTAGGAAGTGCGGGCTGAGGCCAGCTGGGGGGGGGGGGGCAGCGGCAAGTCGCCCGGAAGCATTTCCGCAGTCAGGCAGAGGACAGGGGCACCGCCACTCAGGTGTAAGGGAGCACTGACTCTTCAGAAGGGGGGGGGGGCGGGGGCTTAAAAGTATAAAACTGAACGTAGGGAATGGACACTGAGGGGTGGAATCTGGGCCCTCCAGGTGCAGGAGTCTTTTCCTTCAACACTGAGGGGCCCTTTTCTCCAAGACAGGAGAGACGGGAAGAAAAAGCCAAGTAAAGATACTGAGATTGAGTCATTTTAAGAGAAAAGGAGATTGGGGGAATTAACGCGGTCAGGCTTCTCATTAGGGACACAAGCGTGAATACCGGAAGTGGGGGGTCCCGGCGGGGGTGGGGGGGTGACGGCTGGATGGGGGAGAGGAAGAGACTGATGAGGTCTGGCTCAACTGGCTTCCTAATGGACCTGATCTGGGATCTGGGCCGTGTCAGTGCCCCTGGCGAGGGTCCCTGGAGGGGCTGCTTGGGGCCCCGAGGCCCATCATTCCCAAGTGCTGCTGGAAGGATGAGGAACCAAGAATGAGGACACGAGTGAGGTCGTGAGGAAACTGGGAGCCCGGGAGCCCAGGACCAGGGAGTGAGACCCATGTCTCGCTGAGGGCAAAGAGCAGGTTCAGCGGGACGGAGGGCCCCAGAAGTGCAGAGCCTGCAGTCATCAGATTGTCACACCCACGTTAGTTACCTGGTCTGATGGACAAACAACATCTTAAAGTAATTGGAGAATGAAGCAAGAACTGATTTGTGTGCCTTGAAGTACACATCGCCGATGGCAACCGTGCAGTCACACAGGAAACCAAACTCGCGCTGAGCGTTTAACTGCTGCAGGAGAATAAGTCCATGGTTGGCCAAATCCATTTTTTTAAAAATCTGCAAAGCAAACAATTTTTTTAAGAAAGATGATTCATAAACAAGTATGTGTCCTTATAGTCACCAATAGTAACGATCACAGGTAGCATGCCAGGCACTGCTAAACATGTTCCCTCGGTCCACTCATTCAGTCTTCACAACTCCCTCTGCGGAGCTGGCCTGCCTCCCACCTCCTGGCGGGGCCGCTGTGCGGGGAGTTCAGGGACGGCTCCCCCGGCCCAAGTCTGCGTGGACAGTGTAAGTGGAGGAGTTAGGAGATGAACGCAGGCAGTCTGCCCTCCAGACAGCAAACAGCCCCAGGTCATTTAGCCTTTCTGTTTAGGATTTCATATGCAAATTTTAACAAATCTCCAGAGAGATGAATTAAGTTGCTGGGTAGGGCCACAGCAGGGCAGGGTGAATCTTACTAAGTTTGGGGCAGTTTTCCAGCCCCCTGCAAGGGCTAGGAGACAGCAAATGCCCACCCATGACATTCGGGATAAGGAAGCTGGATGGGCTTCGAGAGGTGTGAGTGTGAGTGACACAGCCCAGGCCACCTAGCTGGAAGGGGACTGCAGGTTCTAAGATCCTCATTCCTCACGTAGCCCTAACAAATCCAAATCCATCCACAGCAGGAGAACTGCCTCTAGAGAAACTGGTTCATCAAAGCAGGAGACAGCTCCTTCCCACAGCCAGACACCATTTATAAAAAGCCCATGACACACAGATTAACATTATACTTAACAGTACGCCTAATGCTTAGATTCTTTTTCCCAAGGATGTCTGCTTGCTCTCACTATTCAACAGAGCACTGGAAGTTCTGGCTGGCAAGTGCAATAGAGCAGGAAAGGAACTAAAAGGCACTTAGAACAAGAACAAATAAAATTGTCCCTATTTGCAGAGGACATACTTGTTACTCAGAAAATCCCAAGGAATGTACAAAAACTCATAGAACTAATAAATGAGTTTAGCAATGCCACAAGATTTAAGATAAACATAAAAATCAATTGTAATTCTATATACCAACTTTGAATTTGTGGACCCTGAAATTAGAAATATTCCATTTACATGCACTGGCTGGTATAGCTCAGTGGATTGAGCACGGGCTGTGAACCAAAGGGTCACTGGTTTGAATCCCAGTCAGGGCACATGCTTGTGTTGTGGGCCAGGTCCCCAGTAAGGGGCACATGAGGGGCAACCACACATTGATGTTTCTCTCCCTCTCTTTCTCCATCCCTTCCTTTCTCCAAAAAATAAATAAAATAAAAAGTTAAAAAAAAGAAATATTCCATTTACAATCACTAAAAACCCTGAAATATATACATGTAAATTGAACAAAACATGCATAAGACTTGTTTGTGGAAAACCAATAAACACTTATGAAAAGAAATCGAAGATCTAAATAAATGGAGACATTATATTTAGTTAGGTGCATGCAACATAGTAAAAACTTCAGCTTTTCTAAACTGATTTGTAGATTTGAAACAATTCTTATCAAAACCCAAGTTAAGAAGTTTTTTGGAACATCTAATTGGCTTTATTAAGCAATTCGAGAGTCAGGCAGCACTGCACCTAGTGAGCTGAGAGAGACTCTCCAAGTGAGATTTTTTTTTTTTGCAGATACAGACAACAATCCAAAATGTATATGCAAAGGCGAAGGAACTAGAATAGCCAAAGCGATTTTTAAGAAGAGTAGTAAAGCAGGAGGAATCAGTGTCTTTGATTTCAAGATGTGTTACCTGAGCTACACACTCAGACTGCGGTCTCTGTGGAGAGGTGACCACGCAGCTCGGTGGAGCAGAGGACGGAACTCAGAAGCAGGCCCAGGTAAAAATGCGTGAGTGATTGCTCACAGAGACACGGGAGCCATTCAGTGGAGGAAGAATCATCTTTTCAAAGAAGGGTCCTAGACTCACTGGGCTTCCATAAGCAAAAAAGGGAAAAAAGAGAAACTTGACCTAAGACTAACCTTAAATAAAAATTAACTCAAAGCAGATCACAAACTCCAATGTAAGACACCAAAGTATAGCTTTGGGGGGGGGGTGTTAATGGGAGAAAACCTTAGAGCTCTATGGGTAGAGAATTTTTATACTTGGCATCAAAATTATAATCCATAAAAGGAGGAAATGATAAATTAGACTTTGTTAAAATTTGCCCTGGCTGGTGTGGCTCAGTGGATTGAGTGTTGGCCTGCAAACCAAAGGGTCACTGGTTCAATTTCCAGTCAAGGCACATGCCTGGATTGTGGGCCAGGTCCCCAGTATGGGGTGTGCGAGAGGTAACCACGAATTGATGTTTCTCTCCCTCTCTTTCTCCTACTCCTCTGTTAAAAAAAAAATCTTAAAAAATATATTAAAAACTTTCATTCTGAGAAAGAACCTGTTAAGAAGGTAAAAAACAAGTAAACCAAAGCTCAAGACTAGGAGGAAAACTTTGAAAACCTTTGCAAATCAGCCTCTTGATAAAGAACCACTATCTAGAATACATAAAGAATTCTCAAAACGCAACAGTGAAAAACCTACTGAATTAGAAAGTGGGCAAAATAGTTGAAGAGACTTGCACCAAAGAGGATGTGCAGATGACAAATAAATACATGTAAAGACATTTAACACAACAGCAATTCAGAAAACAAAGTAAAACCACAATGAGCTTTCGGTACAAACTTATCAGGTTGGCCAAAATAAAAAATAATGACATCGCCAAATGCTGGCAAGCGTACCGAGAAACTGCACTGCTCCCACATTGCTGGTGGAGATGTAAAACCCTGGAGGTCCTCTGGAGGGCAGTTAGCCGTTTCTTAAAAAACTGAATACGTAAATACCATTTTACCTAGTAATGACACAGACATTTATCACAGAGAAACTGAAAACTTACGTTCACACAAAAACCTGCACATGGATATACACAGCAGCTTTATTCCTAATAGTCAGAAGTTAGACACAGCTCAGATGTTATTCAATGGGTGAATGAAGCGTGCTATGCCCATGTAAGAAAAACTACTCAGACATAAGGAGAAATGAACTACAGACACATGTTACAATGAAGGTGAGTTATGCTGAGTGGAAAACCCAACCCCAAAGGGTACATACTGTGCAATTTCACTTATATAACATTCTTGAAAATTATAGAGATGGAGAACAGATTAGTAGCAGAGGGGTGAGGGCAGCAGGAGGGAAATGGGCTCTGCTACAGAAGAGACACGAGGGGTCCTCACGGTGACAGCAATGTTCTGCAGCTTGGCTGTGTCAGCGTCACCATGCTGGCTGTGGTACCAGACTACAGTATTGCAAGGTGTCTCCATTAGTGGAAAAAGGGTGAGGGCATACGGTGTCCCGCTATCATTCCTTGCAATTGCATAGTAATCTACAATTACTTTGAAATAAAAAAAGCTTAATTTATTAAAAGGCCCACGTGACACATCAATTAGCCAGATTTTAAAAAGGAGATAACTTGAGAAATATGGAAGCTACTGTGGAGAATGCATTACCAATAAATAACCTTTAAAACAGAAAGTGACCCACAGCGATTCTTCCTCAGCTGGTGACCTCCCCCCGTCCGTCCTGTTGTAGGAATCAACTGACACATTGAGAAGCTGGCAAGTGTTCCCCAAAGCAAATGAATCAAATGGAATGATACTTTAAGAGACGGATCAGGTCATGAAGCAAGGATCCAGGATATTCAGTTTTGTGTTTTCTGCCAAGAACTGTACCCACCTTTGCAGTAATTTGAGTATAAAGACCTAGATTGTGGTCTCCTTTAGGTGTGAACATTGGTGGCATGGGTCAGGAGTTGAGGTCCGCCCCCCCCCCCTCGCCTTTTCTGTGTGTGTTGGAGAAGGTGGGAGCCTCAGATAAGGAAGGGGAGACACAAACGGGCGTGGATTCGTGATGAAGGCGGAGAAGGTGTCAGGTTGCAGGGACTGGGATTCCAAAGAAACGCCCCTCTGACCATCCCTCTGACCTAACCTCCACCAGGGCGTGGCTTCAGAAGCTGGTCCCCGAGGCTGTTCTCTGAACAGTGCCCAAACACCGTCTTTGCCACCTCACCAGCCTGCTTTCCTCTACAAAAACATGTATCCTCTGAAAGCCAGGTGTGATGGGCTGCTGTCAGGTACTCGCCTGGACTGGCGGTGGTCACCTGCGCATTCAGGCAGCTTTAGGTAGCGACTGCCACCCACAGCAGCTTCTAAAGTATTAACACACTGATATTATTCCCTTGATGTTATGATAAGAGTCGCAATTATTTATGGGGTATTTACTGTTAACCATTCACTTTCATATGTTATTCATTTAATTTCACATGAACTTATGCGAGCTATTTGAGGTTGTTTGCTTTTTTTCCTTATGGATCCGTACAATCCTTGCTGTACGAGGAGCATGGGCCTTTTGTCACAGCTGCTGCTAATACTGTTCACTTTCGCATTTGTTTTATACAGATTTTTGGCATAATTTTGTTTTAATGTCATCAGAGGTACTGTGTTTACAGGCACGCATCATCTCCTTTGACACGGCAAACTGCACAGCTCCCTCCCGTCCCTTAAACAGACCCACATAGGTATTTTATTCAGACTGTGAGGACAAAGCCATGATAAAACTGTGAAATGTTTCTTTTCTAAGGGGTCCACCAGTCATTTCAGTGTCTCAATTTTGGAGCTTCTGTAACTGGAAACACACTGACCATGCCCTTCCTAGGCCCAGGGTAGAACAAGTGCACAGGAGGGGTCTCAGTGGAGCGAGGAAAGTGTAAAGAGGAAAAAAAAATGAAGACAACAGTCAGGTCCACACTTCACATGGCAAACTCCCACACAGATTAGCTCCGAAAATCTTCAGAGACTAAAAAGTCTTAGGAAGAAAGATACCCCCCCCCCCATTCTTACAACTGTGAATGAGCCTGAGATACTGGGGTGAGAGGGAGGAGGGCAGAGGGCGGGGTCCGTGCCTGGATTCTAAGAGAAGCGCATCCCTGGCAGCTCCTGCTCTGCCTTGTCCAGCTAACAGTACTGCCTTTTTTAAATCTTCTTTGCTCATTGCGGCCCCTTCATAATCATTCCCATGAGGCTCTACTTGCAGTAGAGCCACTGCACAGGCCGAGGGTGCAGGTCTCCGAGGGCTGGCCCTGCTCGAGGCTACCCTGCACCTTGTGGAAACGAATGTCCGCGCTCCCACCTCCACCAGCTGCGCTGCCCCCTGCACTGAAGCAGCTCACGGAGGCCACCGAGGCCCGTTGTTTCCCTGCCCCGCGGACTAGTAGTTTGCTCCACGCACTTAACACCCTTCCTCTGGCACCACAGTGAATATGCTCCTGGCTTCTAGGTCACTGCACTCTGGTTTAGGTCTCACCTTTGGCTGTTCTATTTTCATTTCCATCAACAATTCCTCTTTCCCTGTTGCCCTCAGCCTTTGGTCCACAGCCCACTCTCATTCTGCGGGCTCTCTTTAACAATCCAATCCACTTTCACTTGGCTGTCCCATTGGAACCCTAAATTCAACCTGGGTGAAACAACCCTAGCCCTCCCCTTCCTTCCACTTCCTTTCCCCAGAAGGACCGTAAAAGCTACGGGTGCAAACTCACTCCTTCCACACGCCCAGTGCGGTGTATGCCGCCATCACCAGCCCCTCGACCAAGCCCGCAATCTCAACGCAGCGTTCAGGCCCCCAGGTCCCTCCCGCCTCACATCAGTCGCCCACATCCCACCAACCTGAACCCTATGCCAGGGCCACGCCTAAGCTCTGCCTCCGCCCTCATCTCCTGTTTCCGGCTCTAGCTCCTCTAATTCATCCGCAACGACCTTCCCAGAGGGCGAATCTGACGTTCCTATCCTGCTGAAAGTCCTTCTGTGACTCCCTACTGCTTTTGGGATGAAGCCCAAATTCCTCAGCATAGCTCACCCGGCCAGCAGGACCCAACCCCTGCTGACTCTGCACTATACGCTCTAGTGCGAATCTAATCTAATGGTTTCCAGACCTTTGGATTTCACAGACCTACTAAAAACCAACCAACCAACCAACCTCCAAATGGGGCTGCCATGACACTGTGGCTCCCTCTTTATTTTCCAAGAAAGGACATAAAACAGTCAAATGCCTGGTGGGGACAGGAGACTTTTAAAAACAAACAGGTAGAAAGGACATAAGGTCAGAATATCTTTCTAAAGGAAAGGCAGGTTTGGCACTGTGTTTAACACATGGAAACAGTTTTTTTTCTAACGCAAAGACATCACAACATAAAATTTGACTTATGACATTAAGTTGTGCCTGTTTTCTTATTTTAAAAGATTCTATTTATTTATTTTTAGAGAGAAGGGAAGGGAAGAATAAAGAGTGGGAGAGACACGTCAGTGTGTGGTTGCCTCTCACAGGGTCCCATCTGGGGACCTGGCCTGCAAGCCAGGCATGTGCCCTGACTGGGAATCGAACTGACAACCCTTTGGTTTTCAGGTTGGCACTCAGTCCACTGAGCCACACCAGCCAGGGCCTAATTGTTTTCTTGATACAAGATCGTCCACTTGGTAATCTTTACAAGTGATCATTAAGTATCCCAACTTGTACTGAAGTCCAAGCATTATCAGAAATCCACTGCCCAGGTAGCTCAGCTGGTTAGTGCTATCCCCATGCACCAGGGCTGCAGTTTCCATCCCCATCTGGGCACATGCAAGATGCAACCAATGAGTGCAGAAGTGAGTGGATCAATCAACTGATGCATCGATGTTTCTCTCTCATCAATTAAAAAAATCCAGTTCCATTCATGCTAATAATAGAGACAAAGTGATGTTACATTACTCACTTTGGAAATCCTGGATGAACTGAGATAAGATGAAGAAGGGCAGTTTCCGGTACCCGAAGGTTCTGAAGGCCCAGGACCTCACTGGGTCTAACAGTCTGCAACACTCACTATCAGTGCTGGGCAGCTCGGCAGCCTGATTTCCACACGCGGTTCGGAGAGGCAGCCTGTTGGAACAGGGCCTGAGACCCCTGTGCTGGACCATGAACACGCCACACTCACAGGGACTCACCACTGCCATCTGCCCCATCCCCAGCTCTAACTGTCCTCTGCAAAAGTTCCCTGATCCTCAAACAAGGAGGCGCTGTCTGCCTACGGGGCATCTGTGAACAAGTTGGTTCACATATGTCTGCCTGATGCTTCCTGAAAGCTGGCACCGAGTCTTATTTATCATTTACTATTTTGTCCATGTGTACAGCACATTGTCTGGTGTTCAGTATTTGTTAAACAAATTAATAACTCTATGTTGGGAGAGGAGAATACTGAGCTCCAGCCACAGCTTGGTCTCTGACTAGCTGGGTGACCTGGGGTAAAAGTTCTACTTCTATTGATCTTACATTAACCTCAAAATTCTCATCCATTTACTGTATGCTAAATTTTGGAAGAACATTTCAATTTTAAAATGTTAATTCCTGTTTGTTCATGCTAACAATTAAGTTCTGAATAGTGTTTTATAGTTATGATAACCCTTCACACAAAACATTTAATCCTCAATAATAATATGGTACCACCCTGGCTGGTGTGGCTCAGTGGACTGAGCACAGGCCTGTGAAGCAGAGGGTCACCGGTTTGATTTCCGGTCAGGGCACATGCCTGGGTTGTGGGCCGGGTCCCCAGTGGGGGACACATGAGAGGCAACCACACATTGATGTTTCTCTCCCATTCTTTCTCCTTCCTGTCCCCTCTCTCTAAAGATAAATAAATAAAATAATTAAAAAATAATATGGTACCTTGTTTTCTTATATTCATTATTACAAAAATTACTAATGACCACATTAATAAAAAAGACCACTTATGCGCCAAAGATCAGCGATCCTCTTTCCTGAAGAAATTCAGACTCAGAGCAGTGAGGTAACTTGCCCACGTGCAGGGCGGACTCTAAAGAAGCAGGTTTGGGAAGTGGACAAATACCTGGTGAGAGCTTTCTAAGGTGCCAGGCACAGTGGATGCAATGACATGCAGAATACAACGTCTTCCCTGCTGTCATCAAATAAGTACACACATTTATAACAGCCAACTCTGGTAAGAGCTATCAAAGAAAAATGTAAGTAAATATGAGGTCATAAACTGGGGTCTTATTTGGGGGTTGGGGGTCCGGGAAGGCTTCTGTAAGGAAATGTCAGTTAAGCAGATAAGAGATTGAGAAGAGTTAACCGGGCAAAACAGACTATTCCAGGCAGAGGGATCAGCATTTGCAAAGGGCCCAAGATAGGAGGGAGGAAGATACAACTGAAGAATGGAAAGGAGGTCAGTGTGGCTTTAGGGCTAGGAGCCAGAGAAGAATGAGGCAGACAAGGCTGGATACTCAAGTCGGTTAACGATTTTGGTTTGCATCTTAAAAGTGAGGAGCAGCCACTGAAGGGGATTTCCAGCAGGGTGACAGGATCAGATGCTTGCAATTGCAAAAGTAACTAAATTGGGGTGTTGGTGTCAAAAGAGGTGGGTGGGTGAGGAGAGGCATATTAAAAGTCCTGAACATCCTGGCTGGGTAGCTTAGTTGGTTACAGCGGCATCCTGATACACAGAGGTTGTGGGTTCAATCTCTTGTCAGAGCGCATGCCGGAAGCGACCGATGAATGCTTAAGTATGTGGGACAACTGACTGAGGTCTCTGTCTCTCTCTTCCCCGCCCCTCTCTCTAAAAGCAGTAACATTAAAAAGAAAGAGAAGTGGTAGAGAGGGGAGATGACAAACTGGGTGTGGTGATGAGGGGAGGGGCAGCATTTGAAAGATAGTTGGAAGATAAAAAATCAAGAGGACTGGCTGGTGGATTAGGTGGAGGAGGATGGGGGAAAACCGGGTGTCCAAGATGACTCCGACATTTCTAACCTGTGTACGGGGTAGATTGTGGAGGTCTCCACCAGGAGAGGGAGGGAACACAGGCAACACGCGGCTTTGTGGGGACGATCATGGAGCGAGGTCAGACTTGTTGGGGCTGACATGCTTTAGAGACCGACACCCGAGGAGAGATGTAGAGACCATGTTGGTTGTAATGGTCTGGAGCCCCAAAGTCTTGACTGTGATTAATGTCTTCAGAGAATCCAGGTGTGTCTGACTCCCAAAGTCATATCCTTAAATCACATGATAGTTCAGAGAAGTTAAAACTGTAAACAAACACACAGAAGTCCATTGAACCCTGGGTGTAAATTTCATGCTCCTTCCACTACACTACCTTGCTAGAGATCACTCCTGAAATTCCAAGGGCCAAAATCAGTCATGAAACTGAAGACATACATAAAGCCCCCAGCCATTGAACAATGTAAATGGAACTTAAGTGAGCTTTCATAGAATGCCTTCCTTAAGTATGTGTAAGTGTACAAAGTGGTTTTTTCTTAAGTAAATTCAGAGGCTGTAAGACATGTCATGTCGAAATAAGGAAAAAATACTTTCCAGAGCCAAATGTAAATAATCTTTTATATTAATGCTTTTGGGTTGGATTGCCACGGTTTCCCACACTGATAACTGATACTCCCAGACGTCAAGTGCTTTCCGCTTCCATCATGTACCGCGTGGGGGCTGATCCTTCAGCTACTCAGCCTTTGGAAGTGCAGCTGAATGGGACAAACACAATCACATTACATTCCGACAACCCAAGTTCTTCCTTCACTTTCAATGTAAGAACAGGAGGCCAAAACAACTTGTGGGAATTGATGATGCACTTTTTAAAGATAATAGCTCTCTTAAGATACTAAATACCACTTAGACTACCTATTTCAAGAGCACTAAAAGGTCCTCTGAAGTCCTTGGTATTATTTAAGTGAAGCATATATGAATATTGTAATGCACAGGGTGCATCACTAACAGAAAAGCACTACCCACAAGTAAGATTGATTCTTTCAAGTGGTTTAGACCACTTACCAGGATGAACAAACCTGCTTTTTTCAGTTAGCATTATTAATAATGAATACTTGAGCACCCATACAGTAAAAATGAATGAGCCTGGTCATCTGAATTTTAGTCTACTTTAAAACTGCATTTCAAAGCTAGGAAGTGTATCTTATTTAGTGTTGGTGACAGACTGGTATTGATGCATACGTATTTTTAACATTTCTTTAGTCAATCCTCTTCTACAATTAGAAAAAGGAGGGACATAAACTGACCAACTGCACTTACTTTGATTTTGTAAAGCATGCATGTGTAAAAAAAAAATTGTCTTTTGAAACTTATTTTGCCTAACTTAATATTAAAATTAGTTTTTAATTTTTGAGTATAAGTTGAGGTCAGTTCAGGGACAGCTTAGGCGTCAAGGAGAAGCAGGTCAGAGATTTATGGCTAATAAAGAGTTGATATTAAAGTGATAATTCTGCCCTGGCTGACGTAGCTCAGTGGATTGAGTGCGGGCCTGTGAACCAGATTATCGCAGTTCGATTCCCAGTCAGGGCACATGCCTGGGTTGCAGGCCAGTTCCCAGCAGTGGACGCATGAGAGGCAACCATACATTGATATTTCTCTGCCACTCTTTCTCCTTCCCTTCCCCTCTCTCAAAAAATAAATAAATAAAATATTTAAAAAAATAAAGTGATAATTCTACAGACATTATGTTACAATAAACTTTAAGGACACCTACAGAAGAGCACACAGCAAAATTTAAAACCCAATCTAATTCACTTCAAATAACCCATGAAAGTAGAGATTGCCTTCCTTTCTTAAATGCTATATGAAGATTAGTAAAATCAATCTGAAGAACATCCAGTCACCTACAGGTACAGCTCAGGGTATGCCAGAGAGGAGCACCAATTGTGTTTTAATTCAGAGTCTTAATCTAGTAATTTATTTCAATATTTTAGGGCAGGGATTCTCAAACTCTTTGAAATCAGAACCCCTTTATAACTTCTTATTTATGTAGAATATAACTACTGGTAGTTACCATATTAGAAATTAAAACTGAAAAAATTTTAAATGTATTAATTCAATTAAAAATAGTATGAATCCCACTGTGTGCTGACATAACATTTTTACTTAAAAATTGTATTTTCAAAGCAACAAAAAAATAGTGAGGTGGCATCTTCTTCTATTTTTAAAAATCTCTTTAATAGAAGAGAACTGGATTCTGCATTTACTCTGCTTCTCCACTGACTGTTGTGATATCTGTTTTGGTTGATTATCGAAGAAAATCCAGCCTAACATCCATGTGGTTGGAAAAAGATGAATTTTAATAGCCTTTTCAGGTAACTGTGGATATTCTTTGATACTACATCAAAACCTGACAAATTTTAATTTCTTAAAAGTTGTGTGATATAACAATAGGTCAGTGAATGATATTTTCCTACTCTATTAGATAGTAAAATTCATTGCTCTACCTTGCACTTGGAATGAATTATTTGTGCATGATTTTTAACATCATCAATTGGTCATTCGGAAATATCAGCTCATTGAATGTGTGGATCTTCTCAACGTGGACACATTTTTTTTCAACAGTGGAAAGGGGCAGTAACATCTCAGCATCGTTATAAAAACAGTTTTGACCTTGGGGAAACTTGAAAGGCTCCTGGGAATTCTCCCAGGAGTTGGAATTCACTCCAAGGGACTGCAGACAAAACTTAGATAACCCCTGTTCAGAATCATTCAGGGGGTTTGGAGAATCTAAGTGACTAGGCATGGTGTAGGAGAATACATGCTTCGATATTGAGCTCAAGACCATTTTGATGATCACCCTTGGTTGGTGGAGAACGTAGGGACACACATTATTTAAAGGAACTGTATGTGAAAAGTGCTTATAAAGTAAAAACAGTTGTATCATTAAGTACTATGTGTAGGTGCTTTACAAATTCCTATCTTTGCACACTGATCTTTTTTGAGGTGAGGAGGTCACACAATACGTACCTCATGCATGTGAAGTGGGGATAATGTGTTTGAGCACAGATACCAGGCTCTGACTTGTAACGGCCTTTGTACCATAAAAAAAAAAAGGTACTAAATGCCTTGGACTGCCAACTCCTGGTAAGTGTTCTGTGGCTATTGACTCCATCCCTTAATGGCTTATCAGTATTGTAAAGACCCTGGATCTTATTTACTATTGATTCACAGTAATATTTTAATTAACTTTAATTTACCAGTAAAAATTATAACCTACTTGAGCCTAGAAAATGTTCTCAATCCAATATTAGGAAGTTTACTTTTTTTTTCTTCAGGAAATAAAAATTCTCAACTCCCTTTTAGGCTTTCACGGTCATGCTTTGCAATCTGAAGACCAAAAGCAGTATGTTAAGTGATCAGCGCCCTTTCGCCAGGAGCACTTTGAAATCTATGGTAAGAGTTTCCGAGGCACCAGTTCTTCCTTTACTGTGACAGCTTGGTGCCGCACTACTTGCCCAACCTTAAAGTTACTCCAGGGAAAGATGAGTGGGTCTAGGGATGAAGAACTGAGACAGGCAGGAGATGGCAGGAGAGTCTCCAGCGCCAAAGAAGCTGATCCCAAGGCAATGCCACGTATCAGCCTTAGATGTTTCCTTCAATCCCTATCTCTATTTCAGTAATTCTCAAGCCGGGAAAAGCAGATCCCCTTATGCAGAGATATGCAGTGTTCTCAAGGTGCATATCCTTGGACGTTGGGGTGAATTTTACATTATATCATAAAAAATTTTATAGCACAACAGCACAGAACTTGGAGGGCAGTGGAAAGCTCATATTAATCTTTTTTTCATATTAATCTTTAAAATAAAAATGAAACTGTCGGTATGGCAGCTTTAATTCTATGGCTTAAAACATGCCTAGTGTTTATTCTCTGCTGCTGGATTATTTTGGTAGCAGAATTCGTGGAGCACCATCTATTTACACTCTCTTTGAAGAAAAGCTTTAAAACTACAAGGAGTAGGACTGTACAACTAAGCATTAGTGGTGGTCCACCTGCCATCTCTTAAGGACTCCTTCACTGTTTACTATTGGTGGTACTTAGTAACACTGGTATATTACTTCTTTGTATTTTTCGAGCTGACAATGGTTTCAATAAGATTAATTCTTTGGCTAGAAGATAAACATATACACCACACATATGAGAAACCCCCAGTTTAAAGGAATGTAGTATTAGTAGTAATGTCTTCTTAAAAATTACCTTTTAACAATTTTAAAACACCCTCAATAGACACCAAGAATGCAACATAAACTTTAACAATTAACTTTGGTCTGTAATAAATCAGAGAAATGAGGATTTAAAATGTCTTAATTCTGATTTTTTAATGAAATTTCGGGCCTCTCTAATTAAAATACCAGTGCTATATCACGCTGCTCCTGAGCTGCGTCAGGGCCAACATAGATGGTCCGTCCTAGCAAGGATAGAGCAGCCCAATTAAGGAAACCTAGAGCACCCTGGAGTTCAGTGAGCCCGTTAACTCCGACTTCTAATGTTTTAAGACAACAACCTATGGAAAGGAATACGACTGAAACTCACACACTAAGCCAGCTCACTCTATGATGAAGTGAACGCTGCAGATGGGTGGGGGGCGGGGAGCAAAGAGCCGGGGATTATTTCCCTAAGGCATAATTAGGAGTTGAGTAGTTGCAAATTCTTGCAGTAAATGGCGTAGCAATAACTAACTGTACTTTGACTCTCTGCCCAATGACTTTCTTGCCTGCTCTGCTACCCTTGCTTTCTTCTTTATTGCCCTCTTTAATCACTACCAGCTAAACGCGACAAAAACCTCGTTTCCTAAGCATCTTCTGTACTACCAGTTCTCTATGCAGCCTTGTTTAAACATTAATGGCCTGGGATTACCTACATAGAGAAAAAGCCAGGCGCTGGGAAGCGGCCTTCGTGCCCAGACCTCCCATTCTCGCAGCGCTACAGGGTGTGAAGACTACGTGGGCACGGAGAGTGGCTCCAGGTCGCCAGTCTCACGCCGCGAAACAAAGCAGGTAGAAACCACAGCGCAGCTGTGGGCCTTATCGGAGGCGCACATCGCCGGTGGAGCGGAAGCCGAAGACTTCCCGCTCTGTGCACCCACACCCGCTGTCCCGGCAGCAGCCCGCGAGAGTCGAAGCATCTAGGAAAGCAAATATTTTCCTGGCCCGCCGGAGAGCCAGCCAACGGCTGCATCACCCTGCCTGCCCCGCCCCGATCGAGGGGGCGGGGCCAGCCAGACTCCAAGGGGCCCAGAGGAACAGGCGCCGCGAACCCCGGCCCGCCCCCATTCCCTAGGGCCAGAAAGGAAAGGAGGGGAGGGGCGACGCACTCAAGCTGCGCCGTCCCATGTGCGCGCGCGCGCTCGCCCCAAGTCCCGCGGAGTTTAACACAATGCCGACGCCTACGCCGTGCGCAACGCCCCGGCCGGCGCAACAGTCCCGGCGCCGGGGGCGGAGGGTGGCCAAACAAGGAGAGGGGAAGAGCGCGCGCGAGAGCCGGAGACAGCGCGAGACCCAGAGGCCGGAAGCGCGCGTGCGCGCCCCCGCCCGCGGGCGGGGAGGCGGAGCCGCAGCAGTAGCGGCAGCAGCTGTAGGAGCCGCTGCAGCTGGGAGAAGCGCCAGAGAGGCCGGGCCTGCTCCGGTCGGACCGGATCCCTCCCCTCCCCCTCCCTCACCGCTCCCCTCCCCCAAACCCACTTCCGCAGCTCGCGGCCTTGCCGCCGGAGAAGCGGCGGCGGCAGCAGCAGAAGGCGGCGAGGCGTCGGAAGGATTACGCACCTGATGGGCCCACCTCTTAGGGCTCCAGCGCGGGACGCTCACCGACCGCCGCCGCTCGGGACGCACTTCGCGGAGGCGGCCAGAAGGGAGGGACCGGCGACGGGGAACGGAACGCGAATCGCCCCCTCCCCTTTCTCCCTCCCTCCTCCGATCCGCCGCCCGCCCTCTCGGCTTCCGTCCCCTCCCCCTCCTGCAAAACCCCGGATGAAGCCGCCGCCGACTCGCCGCCGCCTGGCTCCGGGGGATGGTTTTGTCAGGCGGCCAGAGCCCCGGCGCCAGGCGCAGCCGCCGCCGCTCCCAGGGGCGCCCCTGCTCTCACTTCCCAGAACCCGGTCCCCGTGTGGCCCGGGCCCTCCTCCTGCCTTCACCCGGAGCCCCGCGACCGGGGTCATTAGACTTCTTTGTTGCCACCGTCGCTGCCGGAACCGTTTGCGCGGTCCGGTGGCCCCCGCCCCCCACTGCCGTCCCGGAGCCCGGGCCGGGGGCGGCACGTGGGCACCAGCCCCGGGAGGCGGAGGCGGTGCGTGCTTACCTGTCGCCGGTGCTGCTGCGGCAGGGGGTGTGGAAGAGGCACCGCTGGGCAGCCTTGGCCGCGCTCTGCCAGCCGCCGCCGCCTGTCCCTCTAGCTGGTGCTGTTGCTGCTACCGCTGCTGCTGCTGCCGCGGTCGGTGTCTCCGGCGCGGCGGCGGCGGCGGCGGCGGGGCTTTTCCTGTCCGGTTACGTTAAGGTCACATGACCGAGAGAGTGGAGCGACTAGTGCAAAGAGGCTGAGAGCGGCTCCCGCCGGGGGGGAGAGGCGGCGAGAGAGCTGTGGCGGCAAGAGCCCCCTCCGCCCCCCTCCCGTCGCCTCCCCTCCCCCCGCCCGCCTCCGCCTCCGCCTCCTGCTGCTCTGCCGCCGCCGCCGCCGCCTGCAGCACTGACTACACTGCCGCTCCCGCCCAGGCTCCGCTCTGCTCCGGCCAAACTTCTGTAAACCATGTGCAGCCGAGGCGAGCAAGGAAACTTCTCTCCACTTACTGGGGCTGGAGGCTTCAGTCACAAGCCCCGTGTTTATATAAAGTGTTTAGGTAGGATGATCCTGGAGATATTCAGAAAAGGGATGGGAAACTGGTGCTTGAATCCTTCTGCAAGCTTCTGCTTGACATCTCTGGGCGTATGCTTTTGTCCCTTGACTTCCTGTGTTAGCATAAGTTTTAAGTTTAAGACTTGGAGTGGAGTTGAGAATCGGAGATAATTATAAGTCTCGTATCACCAGTGGTAATCGAAAAGTCATACCGAGGAGAAATGCCTGTTTCTGCTGTGTGTAGAGGTAGAGGTGCTAATTTATAGAATAGTTGAGTGTGATAAATGACGTTTCCGTTAGTTAGACGTTTTCGTTAGTATTGAATATGATTTCAGTAATTGGGTTTTACCTGTTGCAGCTTTGGTCCAAAAATATCAGTAGTGTGCAAAGCGTGTTTGTTACTTAAAAACAGTTTATTCTCTTGTGAGGTTTGGGTTCTGAAGTACTGTTACAGTAGAGTCCAGAGTTGGCCATTCTGTAAATTTAGAGATGCTGAAATCTTTTTTAACAGGGAGGTCCTGAAATGTATCAGGGCAGGCAAGGGACTTAGATTCTCTGATAGTCAGTCTTACTGTTTTACAGTTAATCGTTGTGTTGTTGTCATTTTGATAGAATTTTATATCTGTGGAAGCACACTTCAGTCCCTTGAGGACTGAGTTTAACCATTTATTATTTTTCCATGTACAACATTTTGAAGACTCAAAAGAATGTGGTTTGATTTGTAAGGGAATGGTGGCAGCAGTTTCCAAGGTACTCTGGTTTTAAAGCATGTTCCCTTGGTTATAAGGTCCTTGATTTGGTGTTGAACCCACTTTGGTTTACATAGCACAGTGCCCTGGCACATAGTTCACAAATATTTAAGGCAAACTCAGTATCTTAAGACAGTTAATTTGTATGTATTTAACAATTCATATAAATACATACTTTTAGAATTCCCTTCTAAAACTCTTTGAGTTTGATTTAGTAATCTAGTTAGTTGTACTAGGGCTGCTGATGACTAATTCTTTCTTTGAATACAGAATAAATAAGCAGCTGTGTAACTGTAGTAGTCCAAAGTGAGTAACAGATTTAGTGCATACCTGCCTTGAACTTTTCTTGTTCTTTGATCAGCTAGATAAATGACTTGTCGAGTAGTTAAATGTCTGTCAGCAAAACCAAGTTCTGTCCCTGACATAAGTATTTCTGGTGCACTATCACTAAAACATCAAAGTGGGCCTTCAGACTGGTATGCTTGGTGTCTTGGAATGTCTCTACAGTTGAGATCTGTTTCATCTTATTAGGAAATTAAAGTGATTTTGATTGGTAGAAAGTCATAGTAAAGTCATCTTTGGGTTCTCAGTTCTTTCAGACCTTGACTCTGAACTTTCTGAAGTTTATGGTCTGATGGAGTGAGTGCTCACATGGAGAGTGAACTGATTTAAAAAAAAAACTAAAGGAAAAAAGTGGGCAAAACTAATGTTAAAGTTGTAGGTTGAAGCTATTGTATAGAAGCTTGCTTATGTGTTTAGTAATTGGCTTTGAATCAAAGAAACTGCTTATTAAAATCAGCCAGTAGTTTCTCAGTACTATATTCTATGTAGATGTATAAAAATAGACCCAGGGGTGATTCCTGAAACTCAGTCTCATTCCTAGAGCAAGTGCCATCAAGGACCAGTCTGCTTTCTCTTCAGGAGGTGCTAGTTTTCTCAGGACAGGCATGCAAACTTGAATTTTGTCAGGCATGCTAATTATTTTGATTTTTAGTCACTATCACTTCATAGCATTATAAGGAAGTGTTATGCAGATCATACCTGCTTTTTACAGCTTGCCAAGAAGTTTAAATATTGAGATGGATGCCTATGCAAAGACTGGGGAGAAAACCTTAATCCTTGCAAGAAGGGCTAGCTGTGTATCTCAGGATAGGACCAAGAGAGGCTGTTAGTGTGGTGGGGAAATTCACAAATGCCCGGAATAAATAATAAGAAAAATACGTTAAATCATCTGTTTAGTGTTTATGCACTGATTTATTTTGCATTTTGGAAGTACACTTGGCAATTTAGGAGTTCAAAAATAGTTTCACACATATTCAAAGAAAACCACAGTGCAAGGAAATAATCTAAGTGGTTTCATCAAAAGTTGTTATACATAAATATTCTGCAAACTCTTGTAGTGCTGAAAGTTTTGATATGTAATGCTGAGGCATGAGAAAAATATGTGCTTGCTTATGTTCTGAAGGAGACAGTTCCAGTGAGACTTGGACAGTGGGCAGAAAGTGATTTAATAATACTGTACTTGACTTCTTTTTTGTGGTAGAAATTTGCAGGTGTGTGTGCTCAGGTTGAAGATGGAATTTCCTTTAACATTGATTATTAAAAGAGGAAATAATAACTGTGGGTAGGTCCCATAGCAGCTTTTTCGTTACAGCATTTTATGGGTAACCTCTTAGATTTGGAAAACAATATGCTTTTACATGCTAGACCTACAAGTCTACCATGCCCTGTGGGTTTTATGTCAAGCTTAACATAGAAATCAGACAAGATGTATTTTAAGAGTATCTTATATATCATTGGTTTTGTTATAAAATTTATGGAAAAATGCCTGTTTTATAGTTGGTTGTTGTCGAGACCACATTCCATAAAGATTCCCTATACTTTAGGGGATGTTTTGTCTTAAACCTAAGTATAGGCTGTGGGTTTCAAACTTCACTACCGAGGCTAAGAAATATATTTTGGTAAATGCTGTTTGGTATATATATATACATGTGAAATTGAAACAGAATTTTAGGAAATAGTACCTGTTACCTGTTATATAGTCTTCTATCTTTTCTAACTTGTTCATTTAAAAAGTTTATCTATTTTCAGAGAGAGGAGAAGGTAGGGAGAAAGAGAAGGAGAGAAACATCGATGTGTGAGATAAGCAACAGTTGGTTGCCTCTCGTTCGCCCCCAAATGGGGACCAGGCCTGCAGCCCAGGCATGTGTCCTGACAGGAATCAGTCTGGCGACGTTTCTGTTAGCAGGCTGGTACTCCATTCATTGAACCACACCAGCCGGGTTAACTAATTCATTTTAAAAAACCAACTGTGGAGCCTAAAGTTGACTTCATTGATCACAAATGGATCAGGTTTCAAAGTTTGAAAATTGTTTTATCTCCTACAGTTTCTGTGGGTCATGAATCTGGGGGTGGGTAGCTTAATTAGGTTGGTAGTTCTGGGTCAGGGTCTTTCATGAGGTTGCAGTCAATATGCTCACTGGGCCAGAGGATCTGATCTGTTTTTAAGGTGGCTTGTGCTCCAGCAGATTAGTTCTCGAAGATGGCAGGTCTGTTCTTTTCCGTTGGACTGCTTGAGTCTCCTCACAACATGGTGGTTGGCTTCCCCCAGAAACAGTGAATCAAGAAAGCCAGGAAGAAGCTACACCATCACTGCCACATAATGTTAGTTAAAAGCAAGTGTCATACCTTGGCCGGGTGGCTCAGTTGGAATGCTGTGCCTTGTACCAAAAGCTTGCCATTCGGATTCCTGGTCAGACCTCATACCTAGGTTGTGGTTTGATTCCTGGTCGGACTGTGGGAGGCAGCTGGTCAGTGTTTCTTTCACATTAAGATCTCGATATCTCTCACTCTCTCACATGCTCGCTCTTTCCTGCTCTCAAAGCAGTGGTCATATCCTTGGGTGAGGATTAAAAAAGAAAACAAAAGTCATTAAAGCCAGCCTAAGGCCAAAGGGAAAGGTGTTAAGCTCCTTGTCTTGAAGGGAGGAGCATCAAAGAATTTGACATATTTTAATAACCAGCAAAATTCTTACGTGTTTCCTGTTTATGGATGAATTAGGATTGAATTGGAAGCTTTCCTGAAGTCAATCTGCAAGTAATTATCTTTGAATATCATAGTTAATTCATTGTTATCTCTGAGGGTATCTAGTCTCACTCCTCAGTCTGAAGTCTGAGAAAGCAGGCTCAAAGAAGTTAAGTATGAACTAGCCCAGGGCCATTCATTGTAGAAAAAAATAGATTTTTCTCTGATTTTTGTCATGAATAATCTGTGCTAATAAAAATGAGAAAATTGGCTGATCTTTAAGAAAAATTTTTTTCTAAAGTTACAGTGTATAACTTATTCTGTAGTCTTCCAATTTGTAAGCTTTTATGTAATCTAGTTATGCTTGCAACTTCTTTGTCCTACAGGTAATGCTTAATGTCTATGGCTTTAGACTCCTCACACCAGCATCTCCCCTACACTCCTTTGATGTTTTTGAAGACAGAAAATACTCAGTTGACAATTGAATGTGGGGGTTAAGGGTACTGATACTCCCTCCCTCCCCCCCAGTTGAAAATTTGATTGTAACTTTTTTCAGTTGCCACCTGAGGATATGTTTTTTATTGATTTTAGAGAGAGGAAGGGAAAGAGAGAGCACAGCATTGATGTGAGAAACATCGATTGTTTGCCTCCCAAATACTCCTTGCATGAAGATCGAACCTGCAACCTAGGAATGTGCCCTGCCTGGGAGTTGAACCTGCAACCTTTTGGTGTACGGGATAATGCTCCAACCAACCAAGCCACCAGGCCAGGGCCAATCAAAACTTTTCTCTGCAGTCAGCCCTTCAGATCTGTGTATTCAACCAACCCCATGTTGAAAACAGTATTTTAAAAAGTGTTCTTAAAATATGTTTATTGATATTAAAGAGAGAGAGAGAGAGAGAGACATCGATTGGTTGCTTCCCATATGTGCCCCTACTGGAGATGTGAGCCTGCAACCTTTTTGTGTATGGATAATGCTGCAACCAACTGAGCCA